AAATTACTTTCCTCTTCAGTATTAGATCAGTAATCTTAACAATGTGGGAGAACCTATGTTTTAACTAAGCTTATACATCGCATGAAAGAAGGCTCGTGCAAGTTGTATTTATAAAAGCTATCGTAGTCATCGAACCGTTGCTGTTTTCGATGGATTGTCAAATATCTTAGTCAAATATTTATGTGAATATGCTCTACTCGTTCATTTGATATCTTTTAGATGCCACTTGTTTCTTGGACTTTAATTTGTGGTCCTTCAACATAATTTTGCGAACTTTTTTATATATTCTGTAGTAGCAGTCTACCTTTAAGGTCCGTATACAATATCTTGTATTCGATTTACTGCAAAGTCAAGCCCTATGCTCCAAGAGGATTTAAAAGAAAAAAGAATTAATATATGAAGTTCATTTAAATTTTATTTCCATTCTGGAGAACATTTTTTTAATTAACATATATTATACAAAAAAAAAAAACTGACTCTGAGCTTCAAATTGGCAGGGTACAAGTTCAACCTATCGTACTTGCGGTCTCAAAAAATTATTTGTCAATGTTTAAATATAGAAACAATTCCAAGACCACTGTTGATGGGTATTTGGCCATACTTGAAACAGCTTAACTGGTCAACTTAAAATTCAATTAATTAAAAATTATAAAAATATTTTGTTGTTCTAATTCACTACTATTTAAAAGTAACTCTATAGAAAACAAAAGTTTATGTTAAGAGAATAGTTTCTTTTGTCGGTAAAGATCAACTCTAATAAAAAATTATTATAATTAAAAGAGAAAAAATATTAATAAACAATACTTAATTATATTAGATGCTGTAATAATAATGTAAGCAAATTTTGTGATAATAACAGTTATCCATATTACTATTAAGCTTTGGTTATGATGACATTTTAATACCATTTACTAATGTTTTTATCGCGTGAATACTTAGTAGTTTACAATCTATTTTTTTATTACGAAGTATATATTGTACTCTGATAAATCTACTTAATTATCATATTCTATTATTTGTAAAATACATAAATATTTATATAGAGTAAATAACAAATGACATATGATTATAATATGAGAAATTTGCAGTAGTTAAAAATATATATTAAAAATTATTTATCCAAGTAATATACAATATAATAATCAGTAATCAATTGAATTATTGTCAAAATTAAGACATAATATACATACATAATGTATGTATAGTATAATAATGTGTAATAATATATAGGGTTTTATTAGGACAACATACGACATAACATAAGTTTGGTAACCCACCATAAGCTTAAAGCACCAGTATTATTAAAGAAAAAAGATAAATATATTCTTCCAATAAGATAATTTTCATAACTCACTAAAATTTTACAGTTTATTCGGTAGATATTATCACACCCGCAATATTTTCCATTATTTTTCTGAGATCTTCAGAATAACACTTTTACTGGTCTATTAAAAATAACTAAGCTAACATAACCTCTATGACAAAAGTGGAATTTGCTGAAATGGAAAGGAATATACGTCATGTAACCTGTTTTGGACATATTTTGCCTATCGCTTTCTTAAACCTGATTATTACCTTCGAATTAAAAAGCTCTACGACTTCTGAACAAGCGCTTAACAAGAACTCTTGAACAGTATTATATTTAAATAGCCAGTGTGTTAAGTGTCGAAAAATTCAACGATATTTAAAATCGTAGAGATAACGATGAAAAATCTAGTTAAAACTTAATTAGTATTCTCCTTTTCTCCTTATTCTCCTTTTGTATAAGAGTCTAGTTAAATCCAATTAGAATTAAACGAAAATGTAGACCAGGGCTGTACACACGGTTGCCACTTGAAAATTTTTTTCTGTACCAAAATTGGTTTAAAAAGGTACCATTTTTTTGGACCTTTTTGTTTTCTCGTTCTGTGTTTTTCATAGTGTTATAAATGAACAAAATATAAAATAGTGCAAAGTTGCATTTATATGGGTCGTCAAAAATGTACCAGTTTTTGAAAATGAGTACCAAACGAAAAAAAAAAAAAAAAAAATACCAATTTTGGTACTAAAGTACCATAAGTGGCAACCGTGGCTGTACACGAGGCCCGTGGGAGGACGTGCTTTAGACAGCCTTGATGTAGATTTAATTCATTCTACTCTAGTATAAGTTTTTCTAGTATTGTTTACTTAATATTTTCTTAAAATTTTATCCAGCTAATTTTTTTACTTTAAATAATTCTTTCTCTATTTATTTATTTACGATACGATAAATATATATACAGTCCAAAGTTTCGAGAGAGGGAGAAAAAAAAAACATAAAATTAAGAATGCGTTTGCGGATTCCCGTGTAAACACAATTAGCAGAATATAAAACCTATTAAAATAATCATGCTGTAGTGAAGTATATTGGTCTCTTTTGCACAAAAATTCACTTCAACCCAATGAGAATTATAAGGAAATGTGGAAACGTATGTACGTAATCCAATTCAACCCAATGAGAATTATAAGGAAATGCGGAAATGTATGTACGTAATTCAATTCAACCCAATGAGAATTGTAAAGAAATGTGGAAATGTATTATATTTTTTATATAAAAAAATTAAAAATGTATGCATTATAACTGCAGATTAAATACTCTTACTCTAATATCTTATAGTAGGATATTTTTATACAGCACATATAATTATTATCTTATCCTATTTTATTAAACCTGATTTGATGTTTTCTTACTACCTTAGCCTTAGTAAGCCTTAGTGAATATGGTATATATGTATATTTATTACTCCATCGGTAGCATAGACTTGTTGCATAGAATTTTCAACTTTTTCTCTCGCCAGCAATATAACGAAATTCATTAACAGATTAGCCGGTTTCAATTGTTTTCGTTCTCCAGGTGTTACATGGTTTTCCTTTGTGTCTGTTGCGTTGGAGGTTCCATTGAAGTGCTGCGTAGCATATTTCATCGTACGGCTTTCGAAGAGTGTGGGCAAGCCAATTATATTTCCGATGCTTAACGTATTTGTTAATATCTTCTTGGTTTGTTTGTTAAGAAATTCCATGTTTGAAATTCTACGTGGCCACCAAATTCTCAAAATATAACGTGTATTTCACTGTTGACCAATTAAGTTTCTGATTCACACAATAGGACGGATTTTGCTCAGGCATTGTAAACATGGATTTTTCTTTGTAAAGATATTTCATTTGAATTCCATACACTGCGAAGATTACTGAACGTTATTTTGGCTTTTGATATTCTGCTATCCACATATTTTGAAATCTTAATTATAAGACTTTGTTTCCGTAGTCTTAAAGTACTTTTTAAGTGCACCAGATAGAAATCTTTAAACAAGCTCATTTGATTATCAGCCACAGTATTTATATCTGCTTTAAAGGAGTCTGTTGGGATATTATCAGTTTCTGCAGACATCCCAATTTTCAGTTGTGTTATAGCTTATATAGTTTCTTCTATGCTAGAGTGATTTGTAGATATACATCTTAAAGACCGACTTGATGGGAAGATGACCAATGTGTCATTGTCTGATAGTTGGTCTTTGAGAAACTATGTTGTTGCGTTTGTATAAGTAAAATTTTTACGAAAATTGGATAGAAAATATATTCATTATATAAACTATTTATTTTAAAAATACTATCGTTGATTATTGTATTTTGTAGGAGTTTTTTAAAAAAAAATTTAATAAATGTGATCGACTAAGGACAATTGTCTACAGTTTCAAATCTGTGTTAGATTTTTCTTTTCTGGAAACTTAAATTACCCCTTCGTTTTGAATTGATTGTAGTCGAGGATTCAAGAACTCGTGGACGAAGTTGGGTCATTAATATCAGCCAACAAGAAATTAATTTTAAGATTTACTTTGCCATTAGACCCCGATAGGGATTAAATTTTCTTTTAGACGGATACGAATAGCAAAGAAATAACAAGGACATAAATTTTATATAATTTATTGAAATTTGAAATAAATTATATACGGACTATAAACTAATTAAAAAATTCGAATATTTCTTAAGACCACTGATGATGAGTACTTGGCAATACTCGAAACAGCATTGTATGGTCAGCCAAATTTCAATAAATTAAACATAATTTTTGTCCTTCTCTTTTCTTTGCTATTCGAATCCGTCTAACTTTTAAATAGTTTCTTTTCGTTATAAAGACGAGTCACACTGGGCAAGAAAAAATTAATTAAAATTAATTTTTGTTCTATTTATTTTATTTTATAATTTCGGGTACTTTGTACATTGAAGGTCCATAATATGAATTATATTCACAATTTCTTTTATTTAAATGTACATATATTATGTGCATTTCCCATATATCATAAGAATCATGCCATATATCATTAAGGACTTTTTTCTCAAAAAAAGTTGGATCTACGTGTCTTAGTTCGGGGACGGACAGACGGTTGTTTTTGTGGTTATATGGCAGCATTAAATCATGTTTTTGTAAAATACTTATACGAGTAGAATTGAAGAAATTTATTTAAAAAAGAAATATCACTATTATTTTTAAAATCATTAACTATTCACATTATATTGCATTTTGTATAAAATATCAATGTAATTAGAACTTTTCAAATGACAGGTTCATGTTAAAACTATCGTTAATATTGCGTTTATAATGGAACTGAGTTTTAGCATTTCTTTTTTTTTGTTTTGCTCGATCATATTTAATATAACATTAATGAGAAAAATTATCAAAAGTATTAATCGCATAACTGAAATAAATCAAACGAATTTCTAAAACTAATTAGCGTGTTTCGTTTACATTAAAAATCCGCCGTTTCGATTTTTTTATTATATAAATTCAATGGCTAGTTTCAATCGAAGCGACTAATTTCGAAAAAAGTGCTGAGCAACACTACATTCAGTGCACAATTGACCCGAACAATCTCAGATCGTTGAAGTTAAATACCGCATAATTTCGGTATAATTGCCCAAGGCAATTTTCCCTAAAATGTTTGCACACTTTTTGTGGGCACATATAAAAGCGTTGACCACAGAAGAAATGCCAAATTGAAGAGTGTTGAGGCTTGTGTTAATAGGTCAAATACTGAAAACTCCGGTTAAGTGATCAAGGATATCAGTGCTAATAGGAAGTGTGAAAAATGTTTTCGAAATATTTGTTGAATTTCTTAATCGTTGGCATCGTAGCCGATGTTGCCTTCGCTTGTGTAAGTCGTCTTGGATGATTTGTGTGCTCTCCAGGTTTTAAGTGCTTCCATCGTTATTTATTTCCAGAATGGTTATAAAGCAAAAATTTTAAAATTGGAAAATTGTGCTGGTCCCGAAGGTATCATTACTGTTGACTCGGATTTTTCGGTTAAATTGAACAAGAAATGTGAATTGGTGCCAACCGGTTGCATTGTCAATAAAGCCTTCAATACTGCAGTTTCGAAATTCAAAATAACAAAAGATGGCGTTGTTATCAAGGAGGGTAAGCACGATATGTGTGCCATGGCTGAGCAGGCACCAAATGAAGCAAAGGACCTGTTAAAACTATTTGGTGCTCCACCAAATTGTCCAGTACCAGAGGTGAGAATATCAATATAATCAACTTATATAACATAGAATAAGGAATTTACTGAAATTACATAAATCCATTAAAAGCTTTACAGCTCTATAAAGTTGAGATGTAAATCCATCCATTTTAGTGTTCTGAAATTTTGGATATGTTATTAGGGTACTTTGTGAATATTAACTTAATTTAGTGTTCGGAAATTATGGAATTATTGTTATGGTTATTTTAGGAACACTTACTTATATTAGAGTTCGGATGTTATGAAAGTATTATTGATGTTATTTTAAGAATAATAACTTTTTTTAGGGTTTTGACACAATAAAAATATTATTAGGGTAATTTTCATAATATTAATTTTTTTGGGTTTGGAAATTATGAAAGTATTTTTAATGTCACTTTTGGAATATATACTTATTTAGGGTTCGGAAATTATGGAAGTATTATTATGGTTATTTCAGGAACATTATTTATTTTTAGGGTTCTCAAATCAGGGAATTATTATCAAGTTTTCAAAAAACATGTAAATTAGTATACCTTAAAAGCTGCTATAACATTTTATTCGAAGCATAAGCTATAGTGTTTTCCATTTTAATAAAACTAGACGATTCATTTTTAAATCTCTTTAAAACAGTATATACTCAAAAAGTAAACCTCATAATTTAAAATAGTTGTCTAAAACAATAATGTCAATCCAATGTTAATCCAAGTTAACTTTACCCAGACAACTTTAGGCTCAAAAAGATACTTCAGATTTTTCTATAAAATACGTTAACCAATCCATATTCAAATGATAGAAAGATTATAACCATGCAGAAGAGAAATTTAAAAACTAATGATCATTTTAAGATCTATTTTTGCTTATTATAGCATTTTATATTCGTAACTAATATACCGTGTCATGTATGTTCGTAACGGTCACAACTTTTAGTATTATATATATCTTAAAAAAGATTAATTTTACTTCATTATATTATTTAAATATTTCTATGTAACATCAATTAACTTATTATTTAATAGCGATGTCGATTACTATATAATAATAATAATAAGTGAGCCTTTATTTATAGATTTACATTTCTTATATACAAGAACAAAGACACAAACTTGTATTTACAGTAACACTTAACTTTACATCCTTAACAGATTTGTCAAAGTACTTAAATATTTTTTTTTTTTTTTTTTTTTTTTTTATAAATTGTTTATTATTATATATGATTTTAAAGAACAATAAATAAAACAAAACAAGACATAAAGCAACTAGTTATTAGATAACTAACAAGCAATTTAAATTTAAATAGATTAGGCGATTCCACGCAATAATAAATTAATTGTACTATATTTCAATGATTTAAGCCCAAAGATCGCACGGCTTTCGGCGCTTTAGACGGCGTATTGGCTCAGTTGTCGCTAGTAAATGCGCCTCAGCATTTATGTGACAACTAAGTCTATCTTGGTGTGATTTGGCTTTGGTATGAATTTCTTCCTGTACTGTTGTCACTCCAAGGTCACGATGTAAGTCAGAATTTCTCACGTACCATGGCGCGTTTGTTACACTCCGTAGCATGAAATTTTGGAATCTTTGGATGATGGAAATTTGTGTTCTGCTTGCGCAACCCCATAGCTGTATTCCATATGTCCAGATTGGCTGGAGCATTTGTTTGTATAATATGTACAAGTTTATTGAAAAGCGATAGTTTTGATTTTTTGCCGATTAACCATTTCAACGATTTGAATTTAAGATCTAATTCACTTCTTTTCTTTTTTATGTGCTCGCTCCATCTTAGTTTAGCGTCCAAAGTCATACCCAAGTATTTCGCAGTATTCGCGTGAGGGATTTGTGCTTCATCGATGTAGACAGGTATATGACTGATGCTTCGATTTGTGAAATTTACATGCACTGATTTTTCTTTATTCAGATTAATTTTCCATTTTTTTGTCCAAGCAATTATACTGTCCATACTATTTTGCAAATTATTAGCTGCTATTACTGCGCTTTCTCCAACTGCAAGGACTGCAGTATCATCAGCAAAAGTTGCTGTGAACGTTGTTGCACTCGTTGGCAAGTCGTGTGTATAAATCAGATATAAGAGAGGACCCAAGACACTACCTTGCGGAACTCCAGCGTTAATTTTATGCAGTTTACTATAGGTATCACCGTGCTTTACTCGAAAGTAACGATCAGATAAGTAAGAGGAGATTATGTCATAATACTCCGTTGGGAGAATATTTTTTACTTTGGTAAGCAATCCGGAGTGCCAGAATTTATCGAAAGCCTGCGACACATCTAAAAACACAGCTGAGCAGATTTTTTTTTCCTCAAGAGCTTTTTCTACTACATTGGTAATCCTATGGACTTGATCTATGGTGGAGTGATTGCACCTAAAACCAAACTGATGTAAAGGTATTATGTTTTGACTTTCAATCAGAGGAAGGATTCTTTTCAGTAAGACTTTTTCAAATATTTTTGAAAGTACAGGCAGAAGTGCTATTGGTCTGTAACCACTTACGTCATTAATATCCTTTCCTGGCTTATGTACCATGATAATTTCAGATACTTTCCACAGGGATGGAAGGGTTCGCATCTGTATTATAGCGTTAAATATATTCGTAATTTTAACTAGGCATTTTGCAGGAATTTCTTTTAAAACTTCAGCACTTATCAATTCATAACCTGGGGTTTTTTTAGCTTAAGTTCATTTTTAATAATCATCATTACCTCAAGCTCGGTGGTTGGTGGAATACATGATGAATGTGCTGTCCTAGGAGGGCAGATTACTGCATTGTTAACGTTTTCGTCTATGGAAAACACTTTTGACAGGTGTTCGGAAAAGACCTCCACTTTTTCCTCATCGCTTTTAGCCCATTGATTAGCGTGATTTTTAATTGGAGCTTTGTGTACTAAAGGTCGCTTAAGGTTTCGTGTGCATTTCCAGAGAGAATAGTTGGTAGCACGATCATTACTTAAGTTAGATAGGTAGTAGTTGAATTGATTATTTTTAAATTGCTTGATTTTTAGGCTGAGTTCTTTTGCAAGTACTTAAATATGATAGGTTTTCGATTTCTCGTTTTAATTATATTAAGTATGTTTTGTTTGATTTAACTTTTGTATTTTCCTTACACGACTATGTCGATTACTATATCTTTCAGCTAAAATGCATGATAAAAAAAAATCTATAAAACATATATTTTGCCCTGCTAAATTCTTTAGCTTGATCCTGGATTTCTTTTATTCTTGAACGTTGATAAGGGTGCCTACATCTATCGAAATCTAACTTCATCTGTTTATACTCAATACCACTATTTGCGTGCTTAACTCTATTTTATGTATTCTCAACTCATACCAAAGTGTTGTTCTATTTGGATTAGTAGATTTCAATAAAATAACTGCTATACATATATAAGTCTACAGAATTATATTTTTGTAAATTCCTAAATTTGCTCTTCTATAAAAACTTATGTTATTATCTTTTTATATATAGCTCCATATTTTTGGGCTGACGAATTCCAAAGAAATGAGTCATAAATAAACTACTATAGAATAATACTCTTTGACTAGCTTTTATATTTCCTCTAATTTATCACTTTATTAAAAGCAATACGATTATATATAAGTCTTGCTCAAGTTCCATTCTTCATACTAATAACAGAAATCATCATATATATATTTTGCCATCCTCTTTACTTCGTTCTGCTACTCTTGCTCTTTGACTTCTATTTAATAGTACTATTCTGTATATGTAGACAAAAATTCAGTTCTTTTTTTTAGTTTAATGAATATCAATCAAAGGTGTAATGGTAATCCAAATGAAATACATGTTTCTCAATAATTTTCATCCCTTCATTAGATCTATATAACATCATACATAAAATATTTAATAACTAGTACGGATGTGAAGATTATATCTCCTCACTTATATCTCCTACAGTTGCTTCATTTTTCGCAAAGATTATAGCATAGAACATCGTCCATATATTTTTTCGAATAAAAGTTTTCGCTTTTTGTAAAAACAAAAATGTGGAACACACCTCTATAACTTTATGAGATCTGATGGGATATTGAGGTCCTATGCTCCACGAGGAGTTTTCAGAAAGAAAAAGAAGAATATTGGATAAAACACAAATATTTTATTTCGACTATTTTTTCTGGAGCATGACCATTAGTCAGTGTAAAGTCTATTCTTTTGAATGCTGAGTTGACCTCTTTCTACAGAAACTCTAAGATCTCTAATAGATGTTTAAGCAATTTTATTGTAAAAAAATCATTGTTTATATTAGTTACCGCCAATAGTTATGAATAAATATTTTAAATTATTTTCTTTTGATTAGAAGTAAATAATATGATTTTATATATAATTATATATGTTTTATAAATAATTTTTTACAGGAAAAAATTTGTGCTAACGACCACAAAGTTGACTTGTCAAAATACAAGGCTATGCTTAGCATGGCAAAGGGTAATATTGTTATTGATTCAGAGGTTCAACACGATACTGTAAGTACTGGGTTTTATATAATTTTATGAATTTGAATATAATATTATTTTTCATTTGAATTTTCTCTAAACAGGGCAAATCTTGCATCCATGTTGAACTTGAAATCACCAAGAGTTAAATTATATAAGAAAATTTTTTTCAACAGGAACCAAATTGATGTTATTGGATTAGTAAAAATGTGTTAAATTTCAAATCAAACTTAAGTAATCAATAAAATAATTAAATAAATGAAAACATTTTAATTGCAAATTTAAAATCGTCTATATTTTATTTCGAAATATTTTCCTTATATAACATTGACTTCTCGAGCTGCATCTACCATACCTACAAAACCATCGAGCACTTCAGAACCAACGGGTATAATATACTCTGGTGGCAATAAAAATCCATATTCACTTTTATCACGTAATTCGATAGTGTATGGAATTGGTATACCTTTAACACCGTATGCCCACTCTTTACCAGAACCAGAAACTTTATCTGTAATATTATAAAATATTAAATTACACAATAAATAAACACAAATTATTTCATTGATTTAACGCACATAAAGTTGTTGAACTCGAACCATAAGTGAATACAGTATTAAAACGTCTATACAGCGCATCGGCGTAACCCTTAGCTACATGCATCATCTCCGGGTAGTGTTCCGGAAAGTCTTCGGTATGACCCCAGGGTGAGAGTACATATTGACCATACGAATGTAATGATATATAAATTCTTATTGTATCTTCGGGTATACTTGTATTAATGTACTGCAACATTTGTTTAATTTCAACATCCGATTCAGCATAAGGACCAGCATAAGTTTCGGAACATGGGTTATCTGATGCACCAACGCCTATGTGTTTAATGCATTCATTAACTTTAACAACGCTTAAACTAATAATATAAAGTCTTACTCATCCATAAAAAGTCAAAATTACGGTTTAGATCAGTACCATAACATGTACCAGCTGGATCTGATAGTAAACGTGATTTACGCCACATTCGATTCTGAAATATAAAATGTAAATCAATATGTATAGATTGCCTTTAATATTTTTAATCGCCACTTACTACTTCGTGTGAATACACAAAACCATCGACATTCAATACTGGTATGATGTACCAATCTAAGTTTTCCGCTATATCTCGTACAGCAGGATTTCTTGATACCAATAACTCGTCTATCACATATGTTATAGCAGCCGATGTTATCCACTCTCTGGCATGTATGGTTGACTCTATGAAAATTGCTTTGTTTCCAGGTTTATAGGAAATTTTTATACCCTTAATTTTGCGTCCCTCATGAGAATTACCAATACTGAAAGGTGTTATTATGTCAGGATAACGATCCGCAATTTCATCCAACCAAATATTAATTTCATCCAAAGTGTTATATTGCTTCCAATCCATGCGTGATGAACGTTGAGATGGAATTCCAGCATCGATTAAGCTAAGTGTAAAGAAAATGTATTTTATTATTATTTTATTATTTAAGTAATAGGCTATTAAAGCACCCGACTAAAAGATCTATTGTGCGCCTAAATCTTGTAATTGCTGTGGGCTTAATTTTACCTATTTGACTTGTGACTAAGATCCCGCTTCCAAGGTAATCGAGTCTACGTCTTGCCACCGCTAGGCAGTTGCATAGAACATGTTCTGATGTTTCCGTCTCCTCATGACAGAGTCAACAGGAGTCAATTCCTACCACACCTATAATCTTCATGTGGTCTTCATGTGTAAGTCTACAGTGTTTTTATAAATCATATTATGATATACCTCATATACTAGGAATTTTCGACTTAAACTGCTTAAACGAAAGAGATGATTTGTTGGTTGTTGAAATAATCGTATATAAGATGGAGGGTGGACGTTTTTAATATTAATCGAGGTATAGGGTGTCATAAATGTATATATAAAAATAAACCTATGAAATCAATAATCTAAAAAATTAATTGTTTTAGTATATACATTGTGACCGAAAGGTTTTCGGAAGTTCTCATTTAAAATTCGCGCGCTGTATATTTTTCGATATTTTAAGTTTATGTAGTTTGGCAGCACTGTCCTTAATTACTATGCCAAAAATGAGCGCGATCTGTCAGACAGTTCGTTTACGACAGCTGTTGAAACCAGTTCCCCTCAGTAGTGCGTTGCGAAAAAACAATGGAAAAAAATATTGAACAAAGAGTTTGCATCAAATTTTGTGTTTCGAACGAAATTTCGTGTGCAGAATCGTTGCGAATGCTACAAAAGGCTTATGGGTAATCAGTTTTATCGAAAACTCAAGTTTATGAGTGGTACAAAGCCTTTCAGGACGGTCGTACGACCGTCGAAGACATGCCGCGTTCTGGACGACCTTCGGCCTCTACCACCGACGAAAACATTGAAAAGGCAAAGGAAATCGTGTTCCAAAATCCTCATGTGAGTGTTAGAGAGATAGCACGAGAGCTAGGCATCGGTCGTGAGAGCTATCCGCCGTAAACGGCCTCAATTGTGGAAGGATAATTCATGGATTTTTCATGACGATAATGCTCCCTCGCACCGAGCCAACATTATCAACGATTTTAAGGCCAAACATTCAATAAATACCATCAAACAGCCACCGTATTCACCTGATCTTGCACCGTGTGACTTTTTCCTGTTTCCCAAACTCAAATTACCACTCAGAGGAACGCGTTTTGAATCCATAGAAGACGAAAAACAGAATTCGCAGAGGGAACTCAAAGCCATACCGGAAAGCGCCTATAAAAAATGTTTTGATGATTGGAAGAAACGTTGGCATTTGTGTATCGCTTCTAATGGAGCATATTTTGAAGGAGATAAAATAAATATTGATGAAGATTAAGAATTTTGCGTTTGTACATTGTGACCGGAAACTTTTCGGTCACAATGTATGCCATTTTTATACCTATGTACAATTTTATTATTTTTTTAATCTTTTAGTTTGATACATCGCTCGATTGATTATTAAAAATATAGAAGTTCAAAATTGATTTTTCTCGAAATTTTTCAATAATGGGATGTGAAACACATTTTTTCTATTTATTTAGAGGAGTACAATGACATATATACGACTATTGATAGAAAAATTCTTATCTATCGGAAATAAATATTTGAATTTTTATTGAGACTTGAAATAACGTAATCGAATATAGTTTTTCAATAGACTTGACATACTATAGTAAATATTTTATTTATTTTTTATACTGTAGAATAGCTATGTAATAATAAAAGTAGCTCTATGGATTGAAACCCTAATATTAATTAAATAATTAATTATAATTAATTATAATCAATTATAATTATATAATTAAAGTGGACTTTTAAGCTAGTAAAGAAAAAGAAAAAATTCAATATAACTATTATATTATATGTGAGTTTATTATAATCTTACTACTTTATTATGATAAATACAATGAAGAGGGAGTTATTTTTTGAGTACATTATTAGTGGGGGTTGTCAAGTATAAAATTAGTTTTATTATAATTTGTATATTTGGAAAAGTTAGAGCTTAACGTAATGTTTTAGTCTACAAACGATCGAAAATTCTAATAGCTTAGCAGGCATTTAAATTGAATATATATCGTAAACAGTTTAGTGATATATATACATATACAACTTACATTGCAATATCTTCACATTAATTCTTTAGATACTTAACTTAGTATTAACTATCTATTTGATTGGAATAATATGTAGGATCACTTATGTTCTCGTTCATACTTTGATAATAACTTTGCCACTTGAACTCTCTCAATAGAGAAATGGGAGGTAGGGCTGAATTTAACGGAAGAGAAAATAGCGATATACACAGATGGGTTTAAGATAAATAAAGGCATCGGAGCTGGAATCTATTCTATGGACTTAGGGATTAGTAAATCCTAAATCCTTTTGAGTTCCAGAATATTTCAATATAGTGGAGATTGAGTGCGCAGATGAACAAACCAGACTAGACGAGTTTTCTATGGGAACTTCTGTTTCAATTCCTGCCCCTGCCAGTCACATTCAGAAGTATCTATGTTAATATTTGTTCTAACAAGGCACTGGATTACAGGACGGCATGGGGCCAAGCTTTTCCTACCTCTTGTACTTGTCCAGTAGTACTTGTCTACCGATCCTCGTACAAAAGGCGACACAACATCTATTCTGTTCAACACACTCGGCGATATTTTTAGCATTAGTATTCTCCAGATACTCGCATTTAACAATACTTCCGGCGTTTTCTAACATAACCCACCATAACAAGGAATTTTGAAGTCAAAAGAGCTTTATAGCTGATTGAGGAGAACTTGTGCCTCTTTTTCTTTTACCAAACCTAATCTAACTTCCTATTTATATTGTATTTAGAGGCTACAATAACATTTTCAGATTCAAAAATGGCAATAATATTATCTATTTTTGACATTACCTTTGTACATTTTTAATTTTAACTCCGTAGCTATAATTCTTTGCTAGCATATAGTTTTCGAATTTTTCCTGCATAAGCGGTGGAACCATAATATCAAAATCATCTTCCAATCGACGTACTTCATTCCAAAAATTTAACTACAGGAATTTGAAAATTTTCATTAAATAAATAGATAGTATATATATATGTATATATAATATATGTATGTGTGATTACAAAAATGTAAACAGTGACTCACGTTATATTTGGATTCAAGTTGTCTGATCTCTTCATACTGTTCTGGACTTTGAATTTTAATCTTATAAACCTTGAAGTCATCATAACGCACTATATTCTTTTTAAGAGAAGCACCCAAAGCCAGACTAAACAGAAGCAATAATATATACACTTTGCTTAACGAAAACATTTTGCTTTCTAATCGGTGGTCAATTTCATTATCAGCATTTTGCTTGGCTATTTAGAGTAACTTTTGTAGTGCTTATCTCTAGAACTAATAAAATTTTTGTATAACAATTAAATTAAACTAACCACCTTAATTAAGATTATCTGCTACGACAAGTGTATTGAGTTTCACTTTGAAATTAGCGCATAATACTCGTAGATAAAAGAATTAAGTTCCCCAGTAGTACACGATTTCAGTGATACTTTATAAGTTTGTTTCAGGAAATTCTAGTAAAACATATATTATCTCTATTCTCCTGTTATCATAAGTCTTTTTATTATTACGATTATAATGGCCAGTCGAAACAACTGTATGATCAGGTCAAGAATTGATTTGATTAAATATATCTTTTAGGATAAAAATTTCCTCGCTATTTCCATTGCTTTTTATTCAAAACAGATTTATTCTCATACAATATATGTTTAAATAATAATATTTATAATTACTGTTAATTAAATAATTGTACTTCTCAATAGCGATCACCCTGAAGCAGTATTATCACAATATAGTAATGCGTTCCTAAAAGAGAGTTGAGACTTAAAATCGATGTTATTTACCTTGAGTGAACAGGACATTTAACAGGATTCATGCTTTATACTAAAGTTTTAGTTTGAACTTTAGATATTTGCATGCAAAGAACTATAAATTTCTGATATTACAGAAAAGTGTAACATATTTTTAGAAGTTTTATTTTAACATAAAGTTCTTATGTTATTAACAGAGAATCACTCAAAATTTACTGTAAGTTACAGTCATAAGTTGAGAAACTTGGTTAAAAATATGCTATCAAAAAAAAACAATACATAATATAAGGTCTGAGTGTTAATACTTAGAATTAGTATTTGATACATTATACAATTGATACATTGATATTCCAAGATCTATTAACGGCGTTTTAGGGTTTTCCGTTAAATACCAATAAAAAATCAAACCCAACTTATCATAAAACATATGGACATAGACATGGGGGTATAACGAGCAGTATCTCTTCCCCATTAGAGTTTGTTTGAGGTAATAATAAAGAAAAGTGGACTCGAATAGGAATGGCATCTACCAAATATGATTGACAGATGTTAAAAGATTAGGCGTGCAGGCAGACTTATACAGGAAATGTAATAAGGAAGCCCGGTTTCAATGTAATGACCACTTCTGTTTAGTAAATCATATATCAATAGATATATCCTTAGTTTCGGTTTGCAAGGTAATATTTAAATTAAAAAAATTGGCAAAAAAGTAAAAAAAATGTCCTTAAAATCGCACAAACAAAAAATTGCATTATTGAGAAGTAAAATACTTATATTTTTTATCCAAAAGTTGCCAATTTAAGTATTTATTCCAGAGCAGATTTTGATGTTGACGGATTTTACAGTGGAAGTAAATACATTAAGACCGAAAAGTTTTCGGAAATTCTCATTTAAAATTCGCGCGCTGTATATTTTTCGATATTTTAAGTTTATGTAGTTTGGCAGCACTGTCCTTAATTACTATGCCAAAAATGAGCGCGATCTGTCAGACAGTTCGTTTTCGGCAGCTGTTGAAACCAGTTCACCTCAGTAGTGCGTTGCGAAAAAAACAATGGAAAAAAATATTGAACAAAGAGTTTGCATCAAATTTTGTGTTTCGAACGAATTTCGTGTGCAGAATCGTTGCGAATGCTACAAAAGGCTTATGGGGAATCAGTTTTATCGAAAACTCAAGTTTATGAGTGGTACAAAGCCTTTCAGGACGGTCGTAAGACCGTCGAAGACATTTCGCAACGCACTACTGAGGTGAACTGGTTTCAACAGCTGCCGTAAACGAACTGTCTGACAGATCGCGCTCATTTTTGGCATAGAAATTAAGGACAGTGCTGCCAAACTACATAAACTTAAAATATCGAAAAATATACAGCGCGCGAATTTTAAATGAGAATTTCCGAAAACTTTTCAGTCTTAATGTACTTTAAAATAAATGTAAAAGTACAAAATATAATATTAAAGAGAGTGGAAGTGCGAGAATAGTTACCTCCTATAAAAATAGAAAGAAAGAGAGAGATATAGATAAGGAAGTAAAGGTTAGCATGGAAGTGAGTGATTGAAAGAAGAAGGGTTAGAGAGAAAGGGCGAGGAAGAGAGTAATAGATAGAGGGTGAAAAAACCTCCTATAAAAATAGAAAGAAAGAGAAAGATATAGATAAGGAAGTAAAGGTTAGAATGGAAGTAAGTGATTGAGAGAAGAAGGGTTAGAGAGAAAGGGCGGGGAAGAGAGTAATAGATAGAGGGTGAAAAAAGAGACAGATATAAATGAGGAACTGAAGGTTTAGTGAGAAAGGACGAGAGAGAGGGAAGTAGAAAGCGAGAGAAGGAGAGAATGAATAGGAGAAATATAAATAGGGACAAAGAGAAAACAAATATATATAAGAAGGAAAAGAGTGGTAAAAGATAAACCGATAGATAACAGTAACAAAGCACTGAAGTTAATTCAATAAAGTACTTTGGTAAGACTTTGAAAATGATCTCATTATAAAGTAAACTCGGTTTCTTTAAGATATCTTAAGCTGTTTTGAATACAACTTAAAAAAAACAATATTTTTAAACGAACTTATAATAAGCTCAAGATTATGAGCTAAAAAAAAATAATGTTCATAGTTCGAATTCTAACTTGAGAGAAATTTTTATTATGTTTCGCTTTTCTAGTAAGTAATTCATTCTTCTTTTAAGGTGTGAGTAAAATCCAAACATAAACATAAAAACAAAATACATATTATATAGGTATCTAAACATTAACAAAGTGCCATCAAAAAAGTATAACAAAATAGCTAGAGAGATCTGTAAGTGTTAGGTGATATAGACTTACCATTATATAGGTTGTGTCGCTACATTTTAAAGAAAATCTAATAATAAGTGAAACTAATTAATTTTCCTTCCATCGGAATCATTTATGAATACAGAATTTTTCTTATCATCAACAAAAAAATTATTTAAATTTTATCATTAATCATTTATATTATTTGCCTATAAATGTTTATTGCCGTTTAAATAACCTTAGCTACACTTTTCCAAACAAACTTTCATATCATCCGATATTCAAATAATTTTTTTTTTTTGTTCTCACTAAGTTTTTTTTTCAATTTTTTTTTACTATGTTCCTATCGTTCTTCGCTTTTATGAGCCCATAATTTTTTTATTGCATTTGGTGACATTTCAAGAATATTTTTATGTCATGGCCCGACCCCACTGAACAACTAAATACCATATAGTTAAATATGCGAAATTATTAGTTAATAGCAATTTTTAAATTATTTTTTTTTTTTATTTTTTTTTCAACTAAATAATAATTTTTTTTATCACATTGTCACAATGTCACATTATAAATTGCACTATTTTTTTTATTATAAACAAGTTATTCAATTTAATGTCTTTACTGAGTTCCCTTGACAAATATGTTAGAGATGTCTTTGAATTCGAAATTATGTTGAAGCTTACTTTAAGCCTTAACTAATTTTAAGCTTAACGGAATTTGAAAGAAGCAAGTTAAGAATATCGCCATAATATTAAATTTCTTTAAGTTACTAGCATTGTGTTGTTGTACCATCGGAGATTATCATCTGTCTTATCTCTCATTTAGTGTTTCTATCTCTCTGCTCTTTTTACAATTATACTTTTGATTGATCTGCGATGACAAAAAGTTAAGAGTTTTTGGTATAAAACTCAGCAAAGCTGTTAGCTCAATCATTATCTTACCTGGTATTGTTCCGTCTGACTTCTTTTTGTTTTTGAAACTAAAATCATCACTTCAATAATAGTGACCAATAAAGAAACTTCACGTAGTAACTTGGAGTATTCAACCAAGTAGAGAGGTTGTATTGCACTCCATGAGATCATGTTTAAAGACTCAAAATTAAAATTTAGTAAATTAATTATTCTTGTGTTTTGTTCGAAATTCCTTATACCTAATGTTTGTATTGTGTTCTAAATAAGTACAAGAAAGATATTATCAGCAGTAGCGGGAAAAATATATATTATCCGTCTGTCCGTGATCGCAAATCTTGTTACTAATCAAAATGATTTTTTAATATTAAAATATATCTTTTCACTCGCAATTCAAAAATGTCTACACCATTCTAGTACTCTTACTGATAATAATACACACAATGTTATCCCAAAAGAAACCATAGTATTTTATTTAACTGATTGAATGGTAATAGAGATAACAAATTAAATTGGGCTTATTAAAAATTATGACTTGTGCGTTTATCTGATCATATCTAAAATCATAAACTCTCGTCTGGCACTCATTTCAGTTTGAAATGAAATCGAAAGGTTACTTTATTAACTTAATTGTAAATTTTTTACTACTAGTAATATACTTTCTTTACAGTTGATAATAATCGGGTATCACCTTTTTAAAATAATGTATGGGGGAGGGTGTCATGGAGTCAAACGCACCTGTTAACTGGTTATTACAGAAGTGAAATAAATACTATTAAAATTTTTTAGAAATATTAATATCTATTGACTTGATGTCTGTTACCTGAACGTATGATATAAGCTTTAACATGTCACTTATTTTAAGCTTTTATTTAATAACTGTTAGCCATGATTTTAAAGTAGTAAGTATATATAATTAGATGAAATTACCGAACAACTTCAAAATGGTTTGCTATATTGAAGATCTTGTTTGTATAGTATAAATTATTTGAACAAAAACCACTCAAAAGATTTCTGCTTCACTAGCGCCATCTTGCTAATATTCTCCTTGAGTTCTTATTTGTGCCCAACTACAATCCAGCGAAATAATATTGAGTCCAGTTTTTGCTAAGATGAGATAATTTTATTTTCAAGAAGTTATGTTGCAGATTTACATCTAAATAGGATATTGGTTAAGAGACTAGATATATTAATTTGGTTTGGAGTAAACTATTACTATAATACTTCTTAAAAGTTTTATGTATAAACTTAAGATCCCTTTGAACGCATCTTGAACATAGTATATGGTTAATTTGGTTAAGAATAATATTAAAAAATGAATTTAAAGAGGCAGAGGAAAGTTTAATTACCCATAAACTTTCTTAAAGGTTCAAAACGGACATCTCTTCACATCTCTGTACATCTCTTCTGTTCTATCGAAATCGTTAGGTTACGTCCATACAAGATAACTAAGCTTTAAGCTAAGCTAATAAGATTCTATATAAAATTAGAAAACAAAATTTGTAATAATAAAAAATGTAGTAAATAAATAAATCATAAAAAAAACCCATATATGTAGGGTAATGATAATTTTGAAAAGCCCGAGACAAGCACCTGGTAAATACAAATTTGCACACAGGGTTTATAGTAACCAGTGCTTTAGTTTGATTAATAAAATATTTTAATAATCTTTAATTTTATTCCAAAGCCTTCAAAGTAGTTCCCACATAATATTAAATGCTGATGACACCAATATTTCTGATTGAAGAAACAATGATGGAATTTTTAAACTCGATCTGCAAACTCTTCTTCATCTCAACTGTCTTTCTAAAACATTGTTCTTAAAGTGTGTTTTTTGACTTTGTGAAATAAGTAATAGTCATCACAGAAAACTTACTATCACTCTTTTCATGTCAAAAATATTCATAACAATCACAACGTATGATATTCCAATGTCTTGTTATCTTCAATGTTTCCTTGATCTTCCTAAAAACGTTTGTCCCATTCAACAATTCGTTGCTGTGGCACAGTATTGTCGGAAAAGGCCTTATTTAACATATTAAATGATTTAACATTTTACCAAACAAATATTATAATGTACATCAATGGTTCCAATTGATGATACATTGATACATTGTGGACCGTAACCATTTCTTAGTCTACCTAAATCTATTGTGAGACTAGCAAGTGCGGTTGGATTCAATCTGTGTCAAACAATAAATCGTGTAATCTTTTATGGCAGTAAGCACACCAAAATATGTCTTACCTGTGAAAACAGTAAAAAGGATAATACTCTTCTTGGGAGTTTATATTGCAATGTCTGTGCCAAACACCTTTTTTGTCTTGATTTCGCTTACAGCAGCTTATGTCCATTTTTTTCAAGAATGATAACACTATTGAGCATTTTGCTCTGCGCCCTTAAGATTTAGACTCAAAGCGCTAGAGTTTGCGCCATAAGTAGCTCTAGCGTTAACTCTTTACTCTTTCGAAATATGCTTTGCATCATGGTACAATAGACTTTCAGGAGCTGAGTGCTGTGATTCTTCCAATACAACATTCCTGAAATTTGGTTTCAGCAAGTTAAGGTCTCAAGCGGTGGCCTTCGATTTTTTCTACTTACAGACTAAAAAATCTTGTTTTTAGTGTGTAGTTTGGAAAACACTAAATAACCACTAAATAACCATTAAATAATAACTAAATAAATTACCTAAAACTATTGATAGTTATTTGTGTACTTAAAAATTTTTTTTTAAAACATTGCACCTTTTCTTGTAATCTAATCGCTGTTTTTTAACTATTATTATTAGCCTAATTTTTTCATTTAGAATATTGAGTGAAACAATATTCTGCATTGTAATATCCAATAGTGGGCTTTAAACCAACCTGTAGCTACGTTCTTGGTCTTTGAGTTTGCTCGATTTGTGCATGTGAAAGAAGTGATTTTCAGTAATCTTTAAAATTTTTATTTCATTAACATTAGCTGTTAAATATAAAATATATTGAATACAAAGTTTAACAATTTATTAACATTATTTAAATCAATTCCAATGAATTTGAAATTAGCTTCAAATGTTTGTAATTTTGATTTTTAATCAAAAAGTCCTTTTTCGTTGGCTGCCACAAACAGAGATATTAAACCTTCAGTCACCTCCTCACACACATCAGCTATTTGGTCTGCAGGCAAGAAGAAACCATATGTACCACGATCACGTAGTTCAATTGTGGCTGAAAATGGCACATCTAGCACAGCAAATGCATAATCCTTAGCAGCACCAGATACAGGATCTATTACATAGCAGAAGAGTATGTTAATCAATATTATTAGTTTAAAATGTAAAAAATAAAACAAATTTTTTACAAGAACTTACAGTTAAGTTTGCCACTTGGTCCTACAAGATATTGGGTATTAAACACAGATGCCACACCCTTAGCAAATCCTTTGCATATATATTCCATAACATCGTAGTTTGGTGGGAGCTCATTAGTATGGCCATATGGCAAAAGGCATAAATTACCATATGAATGCATTGCCAAATATACCTTTATATCGGGGATTGATTGCAAAAATCTTACCATGGTTTTTACTTCTGGCTCACTATCAGGAGCGGATCCAGCATACCAGTGATCACATGGAACGTCCATATTGTATCCATTAACTGTAATATATTTTTTTTAATGCATACATTTTAAACTAAATTAATACACTTGGTTTACCCATCCACTGATAATCGAAGTTTCGATTCAAATCAGTTCCGTAGCATATACCGGATGAGTTACTGAAACCGGTAGGCTTGCGATTTTTGCGCCATAAGCGTTCCTATAAAATAAATATTATTAGCTGATATTAAACCCTTATATAAGGTACACATTTTGTTCAATGTACACACCTTCTCATGTGAAAAAACAAAACCATCGGGATTAACAATTGGAACAAAGTACCATGTATAGTTTTCACGCAATGCAACAAGTCGTGGATCGGTTGAAGATAGCAAGTTATTAATGAAGCATGTCAATGTAGCTGATGAAATCCACTCAATAGCATGAATGTTGGCATCTATTACAATATTCTTCGTTCCCTTACGATGTTGTACTTTAAGCGCTTTTATTGGACGACCATCGTATGAAAACCCAATTATGAAGGTTTTCACAAAATGTCGGTAAGTGAAAGCAATATGATCAATCCATTGATAAATTGTTTTTAGGTCGTGATAGTCTTCCCAATCCATAGAAGTGCTTTTCAGACTTGAAAAGCCTTGCTCAATTAAACTGTAAATATTATAAATCTATAGAACTCATTATGATAAAGTATACCATTCCACTCACTTTTGTAAGTCTTTAATTATTGTTTTTATTAAGAGACCATAGTATCTACAACGCTCCTCAAAGTCCTCCTGGTTCGAAGGAGCAACGGCAACATCATAAGTACCAGTGAGGGAGGTTTCTTTTAAGATTTCAACCTATACGTGCAAATTAAATAATGATTAGACTAATTTGATATTGTTCTGCAGGCGCACTTACTGATAAGTCTTCACTCATTTTCCTGAACTCAGTCAATTGTTCGCCATCAGCAACTTGAACTTGGTATACTTTGAACCCATCCAAGCGTCGCATTGTGGATGGGAATTCTGCCATAACTGTAGTTAGGCATATAAAGCTAAGGATGGTCAAGAATATCAGTCCCTTCATGTTTTCAAAACGACTAAATGCTTCGATTCTCAATTCAACTGTGATTTCTATTCTTCAAGTGAAAGTCTTTTATATCAATGCGTTTCTATTCCAACTTGCGTTATCATAGTTTCTTTATTAGCAACTATCATAAAGTCCTGGAGCAACTCATTATGTATTATCGCAAAGTGATTAAACAATTTGGCGCAGCGAATTTGATTTCACCAACATAAAATATATTTTATTTTATAATAGAAAGAAATCTTTATTAAAATTTTATAAGGTTCATAAAATTTTATGGGCTTAACTGATTTTTTTTGCGTTATTTAAATTTAACAGTGGTTTGTTTCAAAAAAGTTTAAATCTTATCGGCCTATAGAGAAATTAGTCAAAATCGTGTGATACTTGCTTTACTTTCGATTGATTGTAGATTTGTATACATTCAATTTTTTACTGTTAGTCATTTTAATTCGAATATCTTTAAAAATTCAATATAGAATATATTAATAAGCTCTAAATAAACATTTAACAAAATTATTCTAAAACTATAATTTTATATTATAAATAAAAGATGACTAAATTCTTAGCAAGTAAAACCATTTCTTCTAAAACACAACTAATGTTTCTTAGTTACTTTAATGTTACCGAATCCATCTGCGTAATTCAATCCAATCTTGCGTTATCCAGATCTGTTACCAGATTTCTGCTCTACGCAAGACTTCCCTCTGAACTTTGCGTACAAATTCTTCAGTTACGTACATCAAGTTCAGCTAGTGAATTTTAAAATTGGTCTTCAAACTGATCGTGTTTCAAGATACACTAAGTATTATAAGTAAGTCAACCACCTTTTTTGCTGAACCATAATATTTCAAATTTGCACATAATAACCAAGAAGGGTAATCGTTTAATGAAGATTCACTTAACAAGTATAATGCCCTGGTAGGCCTTAGATAGCTTATGGTGCTGAAGTCGTCTCCAAAGCGCAAAGGATCAAAGGTGCAACGAATAATCTTTTTATTCGTAATATCTAAATTTGACATTACCTTTTGTGCTACAAATAAAGTTATTATTGAATTATATGGGTGATTTGGTTTTTCACCTTTGAGAATATGTTATATATGAACTTATTGTTCATTTAGTTCATATTTATTTCAGATTTGTTGTGTTGTCCCTGGTAAGAGTTTTTCAAACTATTCTGAAAAATTTGAAGCTATTAAAACACCTAATTTTTTTTATTTTCTTTAAGCATTTAGTTCTCATTCGGTGCAATAGAACCTATATAGTGGAACAGGTTACTTTCACATAAATAACAATAATATATTCTTTATCATTTCGAATGTTTTCCTTTGCTCTACAAAGTGAAACCCATTAAATTATAGACAAAAAAATCGAACATAAATAGTCAGTCTACTAAAGTACAATACCATTTCTTTAGAGCAAACGAAGTCTATTAAAAAAAAGCAGCTAACTTTGGTCGTTTAAAGTTAATAATTGTTTCATTCACATATATTTCATTTTTAATAATTAATTGTTAAGTTAGGTCATGTTATACCGACGATCCCAAGGGGTCCACTTAGGCCTATAAGCCCATTACCATATATTATATAATACATTATATAATACATATATAATACATTACATGTATTACCATATAATTCAAAACTCAAGGGTTACAACCACTTAGAACCTTTGACAAAGCTTACAATGCTATTCAGAAGGATGTCTTGTAGTTCGCCAAGATCTTCAAAAAGAAATCCCACGTATGTGTCACACACAGAAACAAAGCAGATGGGAGACACTTTCATCGTTCTCTCCTCAACTACATCTTTTGTTCAAAAGTCCGGTACAGGAAGAACTCAGTGTAAGTTTGCATGATGTTAACGAAATGCCCAAATTGCTTAGGTGTTCTGAGTGGTTTCCTGATGCACCTTGTCTGCGTAGTTTGTCTGCTTTGCAATTGCCGTAACCATCCCTATGACTGGGTACCCAGATTAGAGAAATATTGAACTGTGTGTAGCAGTCAAAGACTGTAAATTGGACTGAGGTCAAGAACTTTAAAGCAGCTTCACTCTCAGATAGTATATATATATGTATAGATGATATTTATGTATATATGATATATATGTATATATGATATTTATGTATATATGATAGTATGTACTTCTTCAAAATTTGCAGTATGGTTCCTCATAGAACAGTGAGGTGCCGGACAATCAAATACTAATTTACAAAAAGGACAAAAATTAATTATATATTTTTTTAGTTCGGAAAAAAGTACATCATCACTTCTGGAAAATAATAATAAGTATGAAAATCTATTTATTATTTGGTTAAATTTAAAGTATATATTTAAAGCTTAATATTGCAATTACTCAATTCCACTATCATTAATAATTAATTAAAAATTAATTATAATTAATAATAAAGTTAATAAGTTTAAAATCTAATGAAGGAAATTTTTTATATTCCAATACAGCTTGATTCTTTAGATTTAAAGCCTTAACTGTGCAAACTTTTTACTATAGATTAATTAGACTAAAAAGTCACTAAGCAGCTTTTTATATAGAAATGTGACACTTTTTTAAGTCTGATAACACTAGAATTAAGCCAGATATGCATATAGCGCATTGAAAAACATTGCTTAGAATATTGATGTATGCCAAAATCTATTGTCAAATCGCAGTGCTAGGATAATCAGAATTTTTTACTAAGTTAGATTATATGTACTTCAATCAACTACTACATAGGAGGTTATATACCAATTCTCCACATGACCTTTGAGCAGCTATGTTTAATCTGAATGTTCAATCTGAGGATAACATTTTAACATATAGACAATTACATTATGAATTTTTAGAGTATGGCTAAGCACACCATGTTATGGGTAGGTTAGAGTGGCGGTCTTATATCATAATTATTTAAATTAAAATTCGCAAAGGTAGGTTAGGTAGGTTACTGGGGCCATCCGAAGACGCACTTAGACCAAATAAAAATCCGTATAAAATAGAATATATCTATATATTTTTCTACGATACAGAAGTAAATACTCGTATTTATATGTATTTTGTTGATGACAACTATACCTATTTCAGAAAATATAATCAGAAGTTTTGTTTGTTGTTATACCATTTGTTATTTATGTGATCCTATACTAGGAATAAAAGTAAGTGAGATGATGATGTAGTACTGCAAATTATTATATAATGATAACATGTGGTCTGCCATTATCACCATAGAACACAACCGATTTTCTATTAGCCAATTTTAGTAGCTTTACTGAAAGTTTCATTCAATTTGACAAGAGTTGTGTCAAGTAGAAGACCGAATTACTCTTTGCACTAGGCTAGAGCAGCTCCTACATATAAACAATTTCGTTCCAATGGCACCCAACACTCAATATAGTCTTGTTTGCCATTACTCCGGGCTTTGACGACGTTTGTGGAATGTCATAAACGATTTCAGCTTTAAGTTTTAAAAGTTTAATTTTTGTTCATACTTGAAAGTATTTAAATTTAAATAGAAAAAAAGAAACTGGGGGTGCTAAAATTTTCAAGAAATACCTGTATTCAATTTTTAAACGTTTTTTAGTGTGATCATCCACCTTGTTTAATAACGACTGTTACTGACTTCCTTTACTTACTTACTTACTGCTCTCCTCCTCTCCTTGTGGATCATAGGGTCTCTACTGTTTTCTTTTAATTCTTCATATATTAAGTGTGAAAAAGCTGCAATATTACTGCACTGCACTGATATATGCTCGAATACTTGAACAGTTTGAGAAGATTAACTTATTTAGTTGTGTTTATTTCAGACTGGATATCTTGTAATACGAAAGACTTTACGAACGAAGCTAATCGGATGAGATTTTGAATGAGGACTATTAAGGTGAGTGTGAATGATGAATGAGTGAACATTTTTAGAGTACATAGAAATAAGTGAAGTTGGTTCACTAAATCATATAGTGTCCTTAAGTATCAACTGAAAAAAATGAAATCAAATATGTATGTAAACGTATTTGAATCTCATCTTGTTCCCGCATCTTGTTTGCGTCAACTCCATTCCCTTCACATATGAACACATTCCTCTCTAAGTGAGTTGGACCATGCTTTTTGGCTTTGATAAATTCAGCTTGGTAAATACAAAGCCTATCTACTCTTCCCTCTGCCCTTCATTTCTGGTATATGGTTGCATCTTCTGAACGCGACTGTAATCTTCTATAACCAGTTTTAAGAAGTGATTTTAGTGAACTCATGTCTAAGATGGGATTTTTGACAAAAAAAAAAATTTATCATCTTCTTCATTCAGAGGAACTTTGTCAGTACAGACAGAGATTTGAGAACTGTTTAGTCAGTCACTGATAAACAAGAACTTGTGTAGAATTTTTATAAGAATTTTAAAAACTTAACTCAACAAAGAGCGTCTAGTTTTATTATAGTTTTATTTTTGGATGTCTAATTTACTATCGCACCTAGTATTAGACCAACATACACTGAGCGCTTGTAGAAAATCATTCAAATACTCATTAATAATATTACTAGCTATTTTTATCTGAACTATTTTAAATAAGAGCAGACAAAAGTTTATGGATTCAGATATGAGTAGATAAAGGCACGAGCCATAATTTTTTATGAGTCCAATTTAATCACTTATCTAAATTACATATAAGTTATTTTTCTTTTTTAATATTTAAAGAATCACTATCATTTCAAAATTTAGAAAATTGCAACTATTTTTATAACAAATTCGCGTAGACCTACTTTTAATTTAATCTTCCAGAATACAAATGGTTTGCCTTTTGATTTAATGTAAATTAATAGTAAGCATAACGGCTTATGGACAGACGGAGTATCAAAATATTTTATTTATAGGGATCATTATGAAGAATTTTTATATTAGCTTTATAAATATGGTCACTACATATATCTTTAGATTTATTTAATGAAATTATTCAAAATTGTGTTGAAATAAACCGTTGTCATCTCATCCATTTTCATAATCATGAAAATATTCTGAAGGGAATGACGAGGCAGCTACCACATGCGATTATAAATCTGCGCGAAATACGTTTTATAATATCGTAAAAATAAAAGGAAAAATAAATAAATACTATAGACTCTCTAACGAGTCTAATAAATAACACACAGAATTGATGATCACGATCGTAGACATTCAATAGAGTTAAACTATCGCAATTTTCTTAAGTACGCTAGACTGCGTTATTACATTAACAAAATGGGTCTGTCAGAAGAGATAGTTTGTCGCCTCTGCTTAGAAGCAGACTAGACTTTCAGTTACATTCTCTGTGACTGTCCAGTCTTGATCTGGACTAGGAGGAGGTGACTGGTTCGAGAATTACTTTCCCCTTCTGACAATAGGAGGTCTTTAACGGTTAATACTTTAACGGCTTTTATTCGAATAGGGGAATGTCATCTGTTCGATTAGGGTCTGTGGCAGCATAATAGATCAACTATGGTCGCGGTGCTCCGCTCCGTTCAGAGCCGTGACTCTATTTATATCTAATCTAAAATAATCTTCTGTATATGGCACTTAAGGCCAGCCAGTTCAACTTTATTATTATTATTTTATTAAAGTTATGAATTAATTATCACACAATTAATATACGAAAAATTATCTTTAATAATAGCTACTACTTTCTATTCTATACAAATTTTCTGTTTTTGTAATATTAAATATAACATATAGAGACGAAATTTATATTAATAAAACTTGTTTTACTATATGAAATGAGAAAAAATTTATTATGTTAAAGTATAATTATAATTGATGAACTATGTAGAATTATATTAGAATCAATGTTAAATAAAAAGTGTTATTATACATTATTATATATTAATTTCCAGAGAAGCCCCCACAGCAGTTCTTGTAACATCATCCAAGAGAAGATATTTCTTTATCTTATTTTTATCATATGTTATTTCTTTATCTCTTTGAACGTATCCAGGTTTGGGCAAATTTTAAAACCGTTGTGTCTACATACAATTTTAGGTTTAGTTTGAATATACCAGCAAGTGCATCAGTGTTATCATTTCAGATTATTAAGTAGGATTTGAAAAACTGCAAAAGTCGATATATATATGATTGTCGTTATGGTTCAAGAATATTGCGTCTTAAAGCATATATATTACAATTATATAAAATAGTTAGATACAATCTGGAACATAGTATAGCGAAACTCTTATGTAGTTCACTTTTTATTCAAATTTTAATACAATTTCATTGTTTTAATAATAATAACTTAATAATAATAATTTAGTTGTGTGGAAACGCAGACCCATGAACAACTAAATGAAGAACCTCTTTGTATCCATATCAGATGTATAATTTATTATTTTCAATACATAGTAAGACAGTCTAGTAACACCGGATTGCTATGACTTCACACAAAAATAAAATAATACGAAATCAATAATGAAAGCTCACGTATATCGATTATTTTAACTGATAAGTAAAATATTTATATTAACTAACAAACAATCTGTAGCTTAGTTTACCACGACACTTATATAGTTGATGAGTTATCAAAATACAATTAAATTGCTTTAGTTTTGCTCTAAAGTGCTTTATAACGAGACTTTAATTATTAAATCTGCTTTTTTGCTGATTGGATGATTTGAATAAAAATTGATGATTCTTCCTGATGTAGTGGGTTTTTGTAAAGATGTTATTATTGCGTGACATCAATTTGATATCAACGAACTATAAATTATTTTAAGAACATTCGATAATTTACTAAGACCATTGATGTTGAGTACTTGGCAATACTTGAAATAACGTTGTAAGGTCAACTAAACTTAATAAATTACCTAAAATTTTGTTGTTGTGTTTTAATTTCTATTTGACCCTTTCTAACATAAAATATATATAATATATATTAGAGCCAAATCAATACGTTAGCGTCAAATTATTATTTTGAAAGAATTTCGAAAAAGTATTTTACTTAGTTATTGTTAAATCGAAAACTTATATATGAAGACAAGCACTGTTTTCGAATTTATTTTCTTAACTGCAATATGAGCAATGCAACTGCATCCATAAATTGTTTAAAACTCTGACAAATGGTTCCATCTAACTAAATTGTATTAAAAATTTTCGATATTAAAAAAAAAAAAAAGAAAAACTCAATCAATTTAGTTTGTTTAATGTTAAACATTATTTATTTATCCGTTTTTACAAAATATTATGTGTAGTGTAAAACTTAATCAATTTGGAGTCTGAATTCGAGTTAGTAATAATACAAACTTATAAATACATATACGTATATAAATTTATATATATATATATAAATTATTTCAATAGGTTTTAATAAAAGATTATAATTATAAATTAATTAAGGTCATAAAATTAATTCAAGAAATTTATAATTATATATTTATATATTTTATATATATATTCGAGGAAATTAATAGTAAATTAATTTTAAAAACAATTACAAAAATTCGTTTAAAAAATGTAGTGCTTAATAGTTAAAAATAAATAAATAATAAAACATAATAATATAAATTTAACCGTTTTGAACAGATAACAATAAGAGTATTTAAGAATTATTTTGAAATTATCTACGAATTAATTACGAATTAATTGCGAATTATTCAAGAATTATTTACATTGGCTAGATTTTTGATATGGAACTATTTTTCGTATCTTTTTAGTGGAATGTTTGGTTGCTGGAAACAATTTGGAGTTAGAGATGTAAACCAGTTATTGAAAGTGGCTTAAGTGACCGTGCAATATAATAATTAACATAAGATATTTTTTTTATAATTATGTTAATAACAATAAAATTAGGCTAACATATGCCGGAAAAACCAAAATCCTGGTGTTCACGCATTTGTCCCAGATATTGTGAGTGTTTAATACCAAAACTGTAAGCAGGAACATGAGATAAGTTTACCTAAAAAGTTTTAAAATTATAATTAAAATATATTTTAAAATGTAAAAATTGGATAATTTCAAATATTAACCTTTTCTGGATAGTGCGCACCAGGTCCAGGCTTCAAGCGATCATCACTGGGTGCTCTAACTCGATAGCGTATAGAAAATTCGGGGGCTTTATTTTTGGTTGCTATATATGAAGGATCATAGGCACCGGGTCCGGGTAATGCAGGAGTTGGTAAAAAGAATGGCTTAGAACGACCAGCCATTGAAAATGCTGGAGCAGAACGTATTGTGCCCTCTTTGCTGCTGCCCAAAACGGTAGGGATCTTATAGACATTAGGAGCTGCAAAAAGAACATACATTCTTTTATTATTATGAATGCGTATACTATGTAATTTATATAAAAACTGACATGATTGGCTATGTTATTTAGTATGTATTTTTTGGTGGATGGTTTAATTGAGGCGCGCTCAATTATTTGTAATTATTTAAATGGAAAAATAATATATAATAATATAAAACGACAACTTTTAATACATAAATCGTTAATGGTATGGTATATAGACGAAATGAGTTATAAGAAACAAGGAATGGAAAAGTAGAAATAGTAGTAGAAAAAGTAGTAGAAAAAGAGGAAAAGTAGAAGAGTAGAAGAGAGGAAACTCGTAGATGTATCGTAACGCTGATGGACTTATTAACATGGTTTATCATTTGATGCTTTAATCGCTGACTAATTTACCTGATTAATTTTTCTTGTACCGTACTGGCTTCTACGGCGTACTTCATTGTTGTCATTTTCTCTGACTTTGTAGTGGTAACAGTAGCGCCATCTGATGTTACCACAGTTTTTGTTGTATTCGCGGCAGCATTTGTGGCAGTTGCATCGGCAACACCATTTGCAATACACTTACTATTACCGTTTTCTATGACACCATTAGCTATAGTACGCACGGTAGTGGTGACGATCTTTGTTGTGACACCGTCGCCACCAATTCTAGCAACACTATTGCCATTGTCGATGCTGTCAATTGTGCGCGTTGTGGTCTTGGTGATCTGTTGACTGTGGCCATTTGGGGTGTTGGAAGTGCCATTTGTTAACTTTTTTGTGATTTTGTTGTTTGTGTTATGTTTTTTGTTTTTGACTTTCTCAACAACTTGGTCACCGTTAATAGTTTTTGTTGTTTTCGTTACTGTTGTGCTCTTTGGGGTCTCATTACCATTTGTGGCACTAACTTCTGTAACAGTGACCGTCGTTGTTGTTGTAGTCGTGTTGTTCAAATTTGCATCATTAACTTGCATTTGATTGATACGAACTAATTAATAAAAAAATTAAAATAAATCAATAATAAGTAAAAAACAAAAAATATGAAACTAAAAAAAAATTCAAAATTTAAAAAAAATAATTTTTTTTAAATTGGTGTGAAAATGCATTTAAAAGATATAAAACTTATATCAAAATGGAATCTTAAATTACAAACAATATATGTTTCTGGTACAGAATTTCTAAGATCTATAATTGATGCATGTGTGTTAAGTTACGGTGCCAAGTTTTCTGATTCAACCAGTCTATTATATATTCCGCTTGGCATAATATAATATATTAACATTATTGTATATATCAGTCATTCGTTTTCATTTGAGCTACCATATAGTATAATATAATACGACATTACAATACGGTTTGGTTGTAGTCTCTTCGAACTGCTTTTTTACAATTTAATATTTGTGTGTATGGTATATATTTGTGTATATATAATGTATATATACATTATTTCTCAAGTCTAGCCCGGGGTAAAATACGGAGACTATGCATCAACAACTATTGTTAATTTCAGCCCCCACTTTACATTATACTGACTAAAAGTTTCATAGTCATATAACATAAAACAAATTAATAACATATTATAACGTATTGTATAATTGTAATTAATTGTAATTGTGTTAATAATATGTTATAAATATTATTGATACAATAATCGCTCTTTTAACATTATAGGTTATTTCCGCGTTATAGAAAAACTCGTTCTGGAAAAATACTCGTTATGTAGAAATCTTATCTTATTAACGGGGGTTTAATTGAAATATTAGGAAAAAACTATGTTTCGAACGATATATTAAGAAATATGAAAATGATTATGCACTATAGAAATCATTATAAATTTCATAGTACAGATACATAATGGGGGGAAATTCACGCGTTATACAGCGGAAAACACATGTTACGAGTATACGAGGGACATGATATCGCGTAATACAAAAACACGTTGTAGGAGTACCGTGTTATATAGAAAGGATTACTGTATATTATAACATATTATAATAATCAAAAAGAATTTATCCGGGTTCACTTATCAAAACCGTACTTACCAGTCTTCTTAGTATCATTACTAGCAGTGAATAAAATCTCTTTTGGCATTACACATTTTTTTATATTAAATCTCTTGCTAGATCCAAAGTGTTTGTTTGTCCCTTTTTAACTTAAGTTTAAAAAGAGAGGAACGTGTATATTTTATAATAAAAAAAACAATATTGAATTGTCGAAATCATTCAAACACGATGATATTTTTAAGACTGGAAATTAATATGAACTTATAGTTTCAGGAGTGTAGTTTAAATGGCTGTATACTATTGAGACTAAGGACTAGTAACGGAGGACGCTCAAGTAACAGTTAATAAACTGTATAAAAGATAATACAACAACTATTGAATTGAAAAATGGGAAACTTATAGCATGGAGTTGAATAAGTTGAAGAAAAATAATGGAAGAAACCAGAAAATGTATTGACATTTTATTGACTACTTAAGAGTACTTATAGAAAGTTCACTTCTATCATATAGGTTGATTCATTTACGCACTTAAGTTTATACTTTAAAACTTCGTATAACTGAGAGGTAGTAATAGGTTTAGGAGTCCTATTTGCCTCCACTTTCAAGTGACTAATTACATAGCAATTGTGTTATATACATTTTACATACATATATACAAGTAAATTAAAAACAAACTAATACTAATACGTTACGAGTATCACAGTAGATGACAAACATATAAATTTTTACTTACCGGGACTTGCTAAGCGTCTTTCACGTCTTTGCAAAATTCGGTCTTCTACATAAGCACCCTTTGGAAGCGCTGTGCGTTCAATTGTGGATATGGAGATGTCAAGATTTTGTTTATGTACAAGTATACAGAAATGATGATGTAAAAATGAAAATAAAATATACAAAGAAAAATTTTCAAGTAAACAAATGAAACTGACAGTGCATATGACGTATCTTGTATGAGATACATAAGAAATAAAAAAATAAATAAATAAATATAAATAAAAATAAATAAGTAGAAAAATACATAATAAAGATCAAGTAATTATTTACTTTGACACAAAAGCTTCAGTTGTATGATAAGGAAAGCATATAATGCTTACTCACCTGGCATTGGTATTGTTTTGAGACCAAAGCTAAAAGCTGGCGAATGATCCAATTTGCAGTTTTCAGGACGATAATGTCCAGGTGCTACAACACCACACAACACAAATGAATAATGAAAAAATACAGATAAAGATACACATATAATAAAATATAATAAAAAGAAGAAGAGATACTCATGCATGACCCACTCAGAGCGTATAAATTGAAAAAGTACGGGTATATGAAAATATGATATGTCTGTCTGTCAATAATTTCGTTTAATGATAAAAACTTTTATTAATGAATGTCGTCGAATAGGAACGACTACCAAAGTTGTGAGAATATGTATAACGGTTGTGAAAACAAACATAATGTTGGCAACAACAACAATAATACCAACAATAATAAAAACATTGACAACAACAACAACAACAACATATTTGAAATCTTGTAGAATTGCATGCAGTGACTCTTCGTCTAATCATACCTGGTGCAATTGTGGTGAGTTTAGTTTCGGTCCTGGTACCAAAAGTGTAAGCAGGCGTGTGTTCGAGTGTATGTTTTTCTGGTTCATATGCTGTGGGTGCTGTAAGATTAAAATTGAAACCGTGCATTAACCTATATGTATACATATGTATAGAGTAGTTGTTAATAAAAAGAAGTTCAGCGTAATAAATAAAAGTACCAAAACAATTATATTTAGCAACTTGAAAAGTATTACCTGGTGTATCACTGACGTGATCACGATTAACCTTCAAGCCGAATGTGAATGCTGGTCCATGATCTAAATTCACCTTTTCTGGCTGGTAGTGTCCCGGAGCTGGTGATTCACTGCGCATCGTGGTGTTTACTTTCATACCGAATGTATAAGCTGGTGTATGATCAAGATTGCATTGTTCTGGTTTGTAATCACCAGGCGCAGGAGTGTGACTTATGCGCTCTACAGTTGTGCGGCCTGTAATTGTATAAGCTGGGATATGATCTAAACGTATCTTCTCGGGGCTATAAGCACCTGGTGCCGGCGTGTCATTAGTAATTTTCATGTCATGCTTTCCAGCAATTGTAAAAGCGGGTGTGTGATCTAAGCGCACTTTTTCAGGACTGTAGTCACCCGGTGCTGGTGTAAAGCTAGATGATTTAATTTCATGGCGTCCGGTCATGGTAAAAGCAGGTGCATAGTCAAGTTTGCAATTCTCAGGTGCATAAGCGCTAGGTGCAGGCGTGTCACTAGTTTTTTGAATGATGTTTTTGCCAGCAATGGTAAAAGCAGGTGTGTGGTCTAAACGCACTTTTTCTGGAGAGTATGCACCCGGGGCAGGTGTGTCACTTGATCTCTGTACTTCATATCTACCCGCTATTGTGAAAGCTGGTGTATGATCAAGTTTTACTTTCTCAGGTGCATAATCACCAGGGGCTGGAGTATCACTGGCGATTTTTGGATTGTGCTTGCCTGCCATTGTAAAAGCTGGAGTATGATCGAGGCGTGTTTTTTCGGGACAATAGGCTCCTGGGGCTGGGGTGTCACTTGGTTTTTGCAAATTATGGCGACCAGCAAGAGTAAAAGCTGGTATATGGTCCAACCGCACTTTTTCTGGACAGTAGTCGCCAGGTGCTGGAGTATCATTTGCTACTTTGGGATTGTGCTTGCCGGCCATTGTAAAAGCTGGTGTGTGATCCAAACGTACTTTTTCAGGACAGTAATCTCCTGGTGCTGGTGTATCACTGGCGATTTTTGGATTGTGCTTACCAGCCATTGTAAATGCCGGATTATGGTCTAAACGTACTTTTTCTGGACTATAATCGCCGGGTGCTGGGGTATCACTTGTTACTTTAAAATTATGCTTGCCAGCCATTGTGAAAGCTGGCGTGTGATCCAATCTAACCTTTTCTGGACAGTAATCCCCAGGTGCTGGAGTATCGCTTGTTACTTTGGGATTGTGCTTGCCGGCCATTGTAAAAGCTGGTGTGTGATCCATACGTACTTTTTCAGGACAGTAGTCCCCAGGGGCTGGTGTATCACTGGTGATTTTTGGATTATGCTTGCTGCCCATTGTAAATGCTGGATTATGATCTAAGCGTACTTTTTCTGGACTGTAATCACCTGGAGCTGGAGTGTCATTTGATATTTTAAAATTATATTTACCAGCCATTGTGTATGCTGGTGTATGATCCAATCTTACTCTTTCCGGACAATAATCACCTGGTGCTGGAGTATCACTTGTCATCTTAGAGCTATATTTACCAGCCATTGTGTAAGAGGGTGTATGGTCCAAACGCACCTTTTCAGGACAATAATCACCAGGTGCTGGAGTATCACTTGATATTTTTTGGTTGTGCTTGCCAGCCATTGTGAATGCTGGATTATGATCCAAACGCACTTTCTCAGGGCTGTAATCGCCAGGTGCTGGGGTATCACTCGATATCTTAGGGTTATGCTTGCCGGCCATTGTGAAAGCTGGTGTGTGATCCAATCTAACCTTTTCTGGACAATAATCACCAGGTGCTGGAGTATCACTTGTTACTTTGGGATTATGCTTGCCGGCCATTGTAAAAGCTGGTGTGTGATCCATACGTACTTTTTCAGGGCAGTAATCTCCAGGGGCTGGTGTATCACTGGTGATTTTTGGATTGTGCTTACCAGCCATTGTAAATGCCGGATTATGGTCTAAACGTACTTTTTCTGGACAGTAATCGCCTGGTGCTGGAGTGTCACTTGTTACTTTGGGATTGTGCTTGCCGGCCATTGTGAAAGCAGGTGTGTGATCCAATCTAACCTTTTCTGGACAATAATCACCAGGTGCTGGAGTATCACTTGTTACTTTCGGATTGTGCTTGCCGGCCATTGTAAAAGCTGGTGTGTGATCCATACGTACTTTTTCAGGGCAGTAATCTCCAGGGGCTGGTGTATCACTGGTGATTTTTGGATTGTGCTTACCAGCCATTGTAAATGCCGGATTATGGTCTAAACGTACTTTTTCTGGACTATAATCGCCTGGTGCTGGGGTATCACTTGTTACTTTAAAATTATATTTACCAGCCATTGTGAAAGCGGGTGTGTGATCCAATCTAACCTTTTCTGGACAATAATCACCAGGTGCTGGAGTGTCACTTTCTACTTTTGGGTTATGCTTGCCAGCCATTGTAAATGCCGGATTATGGTCTAAACGTACTTTTTCTGGACTATAATCGCCCGGTGCTGGAGTATCACTTGATATCTTTAGGTTATGTTTGCCAGCCATTGTAAAAGCCGGAGTGTGATCCAGTCTAACTTTTTCTGGACAGTAGTCCCCCGGTGCTGGTGTATCACTTACCTTTTGCTGTATGTGACGTCCACCTAGAGAAAATGCAGGTGTGTGATCCAATCGAACTTTTTCCGGGCTATAGTCACCCGGTGCTGGTGTAACGTTGATAAATTTTGGTTCTTGTCTACTAGCCATTGTGTATGCTGGTGTGTGATCCAATCTTACTTTTTCTGGGCAATAAGCACCTGGAGCAGGAGTATCACTGCTTGGCTTAATATTGTATTTTCCAGCCATCGTGTAAGAGGGTGTGTGGTCTAATCGCACCTTTTCTGGACAGTAGGTACCAGGGGCTGGTGTGTCAGTAACTTTTAGTGTTTCATGGCGACCAGCAATTGTGAAAGCAGGAGTGTGATCTAATTTGCAATTTTCCGGTGCGTAAGCGCTAGGTGCAGGGGTATCACTTAAAATTTTGGTCTCATGCTTACCAGCCATAGTATATGAAGGTGTATAGTCGAGTCGGACTTTTTCTGGATAATAGTCACCTGGTGCAGGCGTGTTAATAGTCTGACTTATTTCATGACGAACACCAAAACTATAAGCAGGAGTATTATCTAGTTTCACTTTTTCGGGAGCGTAAGCACCTGGAGCTGGCGTTTCGTTAATACTCTGTACACTATGTCTGCCAACTATTGTAAACGCTGGCATGGTATTAAGATTACATTTTTCAGGTGCATAAAAACCTGGTGCAGGGGTGTCATTTGGTTTCGCTAACTCATGTTTACCAGCTATACTATACGCCGGTGTGTGATCTAAGCGAACTTTTTCGGGACAATAAGCTCCAGGCGCCGGTGTATCTGATGCTTGCCTTAACTCATGGCGACCAGCAAACGTATAAGCAGGTGTGTGATCAAGTTTCACTTTTTCTGGCGCATACGCTCCAGGTGCAGGAGTTTCACTAGTTTTGTACTCAACATAACGACCACTAATTGAATAAGCAGGCGTATGATCGAGTTTACACTTTTCTGGCTCATATGCGCCAGGAGCAGGTGTATCAAATCCTTTGGATAGAATAACACGCTGGCCAAAACTATATGCGGGAGTTTTATCCAAATTGCACTTCTCAGGTTGATATGCGCCAGGAGCTGCAAGTGTGAAGAAAGAGCGTTTAAATAGAATTCAATATTAGTCACTATTATTTTGTGTATATTCATATATGAATGCTGTAGGAACTAACCTGGTGTCGCATCGACAACATCGTAAGTAATTTTGCCGGCCATTGAAAATGCTGGTGTGTGATCCAAGCGTACAGCTTCTGGTTTATATGTGCCAGGAGCTGCATTTAAAGATGGTGGATTGAATGGAATTATTAAGCTAAGCTATTCTGAAGGATTTTGCGGGAAATACAACAAGTACTTACCTGGAGTATCGCTAATAGTCAAATGCTGCGTTTTTAAGCCAAAACTATAAGCCGGCGTGTGTTCAATTATAACATTTTCGGGCCTATATGATCCCGGTGCTATATTTTCAACAAAAAAGAAACACAAAGGATAAGATAAAAGCAATAAAAAGCACGCATTTAAGCTAAAAACTTGAATTGGCAACTTGGATCCAAAGGGAAGTTTCTACTGAACTATAAATACTTTACAACTTAAGAGATATCTAGTATTTGTATTACGTTAAATTAAAAATTTTATTCACTGACCTGGTGTATCATCTGTTTTAAGTTCATGATGCTTTATGCCGAAGCTGTATTCAGGAGTTTTATCCAATTTGACCTTTTCGGGACAGTAAGCACCTGGTGCTGTGATTAGTTGCCCATGTAAAAGTGAAGAAAAATCGTATTACTATAGAGTGAATATTTTATTCGATAATCTATGCTAAGTTTGACTATTACACAACACACAACAAAACTACAAAAAATGCAAGCTCAACTACAGGCTTCAATCAACTAATTAAATTAATTTATATAACAAATGTTTGATATTAATTAATTTTTCTTCTAAGGAGTAGTAATTAATTATTGATTGTGCTAATTTAATAATAAAAACCATGTTAAACACAAATTTGTTAAAATTAAACACCATCAATTACGTTTTTTAAGATTTTTCTAGATTTAAATTTACCTGGTGTTCCCTTTTCGTAGTGAATTTTAGTTCGTCTACCAAATGTGTAGCGCGGTGAAGTCTTTTTAGCTAGTGAGACCTTCTCAGGGCAATAACTATTTGGCGCTGTTAGTGTATAAGATTCGTTTGTTGTTGTTTTTTTTATTTTTATTTAATTTTTTTTTTAATTATTAATTATAGAGAAAAAATTAAAAGAAAAGAATTTAAAACCATTTTCAGTACAACTACAGTGTTTCTTAAATGTTAATTAGTGCACACAGTTTTAAAGCTGCTGTCACTATCTTATGTGGTGCGGTGTATTTACAATGCAGATGGGGGAAAAGAGATATGGTGTGAAAAGTGAGGGAAAAGCAAAGGCCAAAATTATAAATTGAAAAAAAAAAAATTTAAGTAAATTAAAAAATTATACAAAAAAAAAAAAATTAAAAAGAGATGTATAACAAAATAAAAAAAAATTAACCTTCAAATTCATTTATAGAAGAGAAAATATACTAATATATATATTAATATATTATAATATATTTAAACATAACTGATTTAGTGTTGAATCTCTTTTAGTACAAACAAACTTAAGAAGAGATAGTTTAAGCACTTCATAACTTTAAAGAACTATCTACATAAAAAAAAAGAAGTCTGACGGATACTATTGATTTTATTATTAAAAATAAAAATTATGTAGGTAACTATTGCGATAATAATGTCGGTAAGTACTGACGTAATATTCCAAGTAACCAGTAGGCTAAATAGCTGATTCGTCATAACTACAGTAATAGGCCTTTACTCAGTAAAATAGAGCTGAGGTTGTTGGCTGTTTATCTGTTAGATTTCTGTAGTCTGCCTTCCATTCTTAACAATATGAACATGTATGAGGACACATAATGTTAGATCTGCTTGAAATTTTTTTCACGTCCTTCCTAATTTTCCGGCTTTGGTCTGCATCAGAAGGAGATCACAATGCCAGAAGTTCTTATTCTCTTCTGATACAACAAAATTCTCAAAAGCTGAGTATCTTCTGTTCAGTTCAAATTGGTTCCGCAACTCAAAAGTTAACTCATTACCCTATTTATTCTTGTCTTGAAAAATGTCAATGCATTTGATTTTTTAATAGCAAAATCATATTAAAGGAATTATCATAAATATTAATTAATTACTTTATTCATACACAAAAAAAAAACCGTAAAAATACTTAACAAATGTTCTGAAAGAATCGTCGATATAAACATTTTCCATGTTTATAAAAAATCTGAATGAAATAGTTGAATCAATTAAAATATAATACCTCGCGCTCCATTTAAATTTGATAATTGGTTCTGACCGTATATCTTTCACAACCATTTGCGACCTTTCTGGAATATATAATAGTACATTTAATTATGTGAAATTTTGGAACTACTTTTTTCAAAAAAGATATGCACCTTTTTAATTATTGAATCTATTATTTCCGCAGATATGATCAATATAAGTTGAATTCACATAGCCTAGTTATCATATTCTATAATTATTGATAAATTTGGTATGGGTGTGACGGTGAAATATAATGGTAGCACTACACATCTACAACTGTAATGATAAAAACTACTACAATTGATATATGGAAGCCTATAATTGAGAACGTAGTTCTAATCTCAAGATTCCGTTGAAACTTGAAGAAGGAATAAAATAAAGGTAACAAATCGTTGAAAAATTTCAGGATTGAATAAGAAAAACTAGGTATGGCTTTTGTCAATAGTGAGTATTAATAATAGAATATACAGTCGACGTTACAGGTTAAACAAAAATTTTGATTTTTGAAGGACTAAAACTAATTTTATAAATTATAAGTTTGTATAAGTTATATTTAAAAGAACATTGTTATAAAAAAGGAATACCTTCTGTGACAAAACACTCGATTAAGATTTAAGATTATAGGTAAACGATGTAAAGATAAAAAAGTTATACGTGTACATATTTATTACATATAATCGTTCTATAATCAACTCTCTAAAAATTTTTCTACTTATTGTTGATCAGAACTATCAGGAATATATAAGCTATATAAGCTATATAAGCGAAGTTTTTTTTTTGATTTAGTATACATGTACTGAAAATAGCAATTTCCATGGTATAAAAGTATATCGAATGGGCACGGTAGATCGTCGTCAGGGATATTCTTCAGAATGTCGAAGAATGTTTAATGCGCTCTTTGTCCACTAAACTTTTTCGTAAAAAAAAAAATCGTAAAAAAAAAGTTTTTTCCAAAAAGATAAAACTCTTACACTGACACAAATCAAAGCAATAATTGAGTCTAACTATAAATTACCAATAGATGGCATCGTGATAATTTCTTATCTTTAAATAAATTATTTATTTATGAACTCTCTTTTTAAATTCTGTATCTTTAATTACAGTAATCGGTGTCTAAAATTTCCTAGCGTAAAAATATGTGCTTATATTAATTATAAAAAATTATTAAAAAATTAAAAAAAATTATTAAAAAAGCTAATTTAATTTTATTTTACACGTAATTGCTTTTTGATAAGTTCTTAAATATATAATCCACCACCAAAATACACAGGGAATTGATAAAATTTGGTAATAACATATATACAAATTACGTCTTTAAAATTGCAATGGAAGTATAATATCTCATAAAGTACTAGCATTTTTTAATATTTTAATTTATTTTAATTTATTTTTCATTAATATTTTAAAGAATAATACTATATGTTATTGCTAATACATTACTTCACCTCCATATAAATTAAATTTATTTTTTATTCGCGCCTGTAGATATGATTAATATTCAAATTAATGGGGTTGATATTTCTTTTTTATCATTTATTTATTTATTTAATTATCTATTTTAATTTCTTATTATTAGTTATCACAGTTTAAAATCAATTTCTGTTTATAGATGGCGCTAGTACTTTGTAGAGATATTAAGCTTAACTTTTTGTAGTGGACACAAATGGACTCATATTAAATATACAAAATTCACATAAATTTGATTGAATTAATAAGAATTTCCCTTAATATATTTAATGTTTTTGCTATAATACTAGATGTATTCCCATGAATAATGCAGATCAACATTTTTGTTTTTTGATTTGTACAGAGAAATGTTATTTGTATGTTACGAAAATGTTTGTTAATACGATTTATGTTACCTGGACTGTTAACAATATAAACGTTAACTTTAATACGAAAGGAATATTGTGGTGAGCGCGGTTTTATTAGATCGAGCGGCACAACACGATATTGATTCGGGGCTAGACTCAGTTTGTGGTTATGTGTTTATTGGACGCGATTACAAAAATAATTAAAAAATTAAAATAATATTAGACATAAGGTTTATAAAAAAATATAAATAAATATAATAACTAAAATTTTTTTTGAAGAATTTTAATATAAATAAAAGTAAAAACATTACATAAACACAAAAGAGAGCTACTAAAAAGCAGAAGAATTGCAGTTTACATAGTCAGACTACAACAGAAATTCACAATACAGAAAATATAACAAAATACGATTACGTAGAAGAAATGATAAGGACAATAGAGATATAAAAGCAAACAACTGTTAACATTTAACAGTAACTACAGTTCAACTAAAGCACCATACATACAGTCAATTATTTCAGCAAAAGTGAGTCTATAAACTCTTTCTACAATATACAATATGTCCTTATTCACTTATGTATTTATTCATATATATTTATATTTATTCATATATATATATTTATAATATATTAATATAATATTATATATATAAATAATAATATATATATATATATATATATATATACATATATATGTATATATATATATTCACCTTTATATATATAAATTTATATGTATATGTATATATGATTATATATTTATATAATATATAGATTATATATAAGATTATAAAATCAAACTTCACATCATATATACATAGATGTACATAGGTGTATGTAAACAATTCTAATATTATGCAAAGTTTTCTTAGCCAGAGTATGAATCTTTTACCAAATCTGTCAATTATTTAGTTAACATTGATTCTGTATGTTAATTATCAATTTTAAAATGCTAGCAAAATACAGAGAATATTATTCTGTTAAGTACTCCTCCGGCAATAATTTATTACCAATTATTTAGATAATTATTAATTCATAGCTTAATTATTATTAATATTATTATTAATTCATACAGGCGTACAAATGTTTAATTGATATATATTTTTATATATTATTTCTAATTGAGTTGAACGTTTATATGAACATACAAAGTAGTTCAATTAACTAAAGCCAGTTCCAAAATACTACAATTTTCGGGCTAGTGGTAACACAATGACTAGATTTCGTCTAATATGATCTCTTTTGGGGTTGCTAAACGGGGCATAGACTTATATAGGTCAAAGACAGTAGCATACGCTTGTTAAGGTTCTGAAATAAATTTTACCACAGAAATAGACTGTTGAAGTGCTCAAAAATTCTCTACTTCATGAGTGGATAAAAATTCTTTATTATTATTATTATGGATACGCTGTATATGCACTGCGTCCTGAAAGATCTTTTGTGCTGCTTTTCACCCAACTAGTCCAATTCCAAACTTATTGAGCATTTTGTCAAAACTCAAACTTCACTGCCTAAATAGTTAAGTCTGTATCTTGACACAGCTGCGTGGACGCATAGAACGTGTTCTGCTGTTTCCTGTTGCTTTTGACAGAGTCGGCAACTATCGTTTTTAGCTTGACCAATCTTTTTTAGATGATATCATAGTCTACATTGACCTGTTAGTAGTTCCGTGTTATAGTTTGATGTCTGTTCTGCTGAAGTTCAGTACAGCTTCAGCCTTTATATCTTCAGGGATTATAAGACGTTTTGACTGCCGCATGCACTTTTAGGCTCTTCATAAATCAGTTAGGTTTTGACTTTCAATTTCGCATACTAGATTGGTTTTGAATCTGTTGTTATCACCGCAGAATTTTTTCGGGCCTACGAAAGGTGTTTTTGTTGAAGATTCTTTAGGTTCGCACTCGAGCAGCAATCGACTCCATTGTCTATCAGTTGAGAGTTAAAGTTGGTCGTATACACGTAACGAAAAAATAGAATTAATTTGAAATTAATTCGTTAAACTTAAGGTTTCTTCTAAAATTGTTTGTTTCCAAAATTAATATTGTAATTTAAATAAATGTTCACAATTAACAAATTAAATATAAAACAACAAAAAAGAATTAATAATAAATTATTTGGAGTGCATTTATCGGTTGAAGCTATGTATTTATTATTCATTATTTTAATTATTATTTGCTTTCAATAATTTTTTCATATTTTTGTCGTAAAATATTTTGTATAATAAATATATTAGGTAATTACAAATTGACAGTTTTGCTTAAAATTATTGCATACTCTATTTCTCTATGAGAAATGTTTTCTAAAGCAATTCTACATATAAGCTCTACATACATATACAACAAAAAAAAATTACAACAACTGCATCAAACGTATTTGTATCTAATAAATTTCGAAAATAGTCTACTAGCGTATCTAATATTTACAAAAACTAACAGTGCACAGTATGAGATGCACTGCAATTACCTTCTGTTGTTAGAACTGTTTTTGAAAGGCACTACACACCGTTGATCTGTAACAATTAACATGAAAAGCTCTTAACAGCTATAATGACAAGCCAAAAAGCTCTTGTCGTATGTTTATAACATTATGAAGGGAAGACCGACCACATATTAAAGAAGGAGAAATAAAAATTTAAATAAAATTTATTTAACATGCAATGAATGAAGCTTTTAGTGTTGATTTGTAATAATTTTTTTATAGAATATTGAATAAAATTTTCATGCATATTTTATTTTTTTTATTAAGTGATTTAAATAAAACTAAAAGCTACATTTTTGAACACATAGTAATGTCTCACGATTTTCTTTAAAAAATAGAAATTAAAAAATAGAAAATAAAAAATAAAAAATTGACATCAACAATAACGCACCATGAAAATATGTTTAATATACATTAAAACGTATATATATATATATATATATAACATATAAAAGCCACATGATATATGAAAAGAATGAGTTTCAGAGTTACGAGTACATGAGGTAAGAGTAGAGAAAAGTATTAATGTTAATAGTAAATATATAAGTTTATGTACGATTTTGTAATGTACATGATAGCTGCTTAGATGGTAAAGCATTTGAAACATTTTTTTTTTATGAAAACATTGCCACAACACCAAAAATGTGTTCTTGTTAAACTAGCAATATATAGGCATACAGTCAGCAACCAAGTAATTAACCAATCAACCAACCAACCAACCAATCAACCATCCATCCATTTAAGCAATAGTTAAACATACAATAATTACAATAACCACCCATTTAAATATATTTACACACTCCAGATTTATGTTCGGAACATATTCAATGTACCTGGTGTTTGATTCTCCTTAGTCGTTGTGTGTCGATGACCAAATGTATATTTGGGAGTTGAGTTGGTGATTGCCTTTGAAGCGTGATCGACATTATATTCGCCTGGTGCGGGTGTATGAAATTTTTGTTTGCTCTCATAACGACCCGGCATCCAAGCAGCTGGTGCTGTATCCTTACCCTTAGCACTTAAACCGGCAACATTATATTGTGCAGGGCCTGGTCCAACTGTTTCGAATTTTTGTAGATGTCGAAAACCAAATTTAAAAGATGGTGCACCTGCCTTTTTAGAATCAACGGTTATTTTGCTACCTGTAGAAAAAAATATTATTTTTGTAAATAATAGATTGATTAAAGTAGACTATATATGTACATTTAAAAGGTTATAAGATAAGATAATACAAGATAAATAAAAGGATTATTTTAGTTTTATAAGAAACTAAAAAATTTAAAAAGAAAAATAATTATTTTTGTAGCTCAGAATATGTGTGAAGTACGACGTAAGGAGGTCTTTTGTGTGGGTTTCTATTTAAGTATTAGATTCTCGGTCTTAGATTCTCAAAAAATTTTAGAACTGCTGTAAGCTTAATTTTAACTACGTCTTTAAGATGTGAAATAACAGAAATTATTCATCTAACTTTAATAAAATATGTGCGTAATTTATTATCGTCTATTTTTTGATGCTCATGACATAGGCTACGGGAAGTGCTGTCATTAAAATCAATGTTTTAGCACAGTTTAAAATTGGAAGACCCTATGTTTCACTAACCAAAGATGTGGAAAAATTGAGTACTTAATTACGATTACAGTGTCTTTTGTAAAACACTTTCTCATAAAAGAATAAATTAGAAACTTTTGTCAATCCTAGTGTACCTCTCTAAGTCCATAGAAAAACTCTCAAGTCTTATAAATTATGATAAAATATGTCATTATTTTTAGAATAAAAATTATATTGTATTACGTTAGATAATCTACTCTTATAAAGATAGTACGAGGGTTACAAGTAAATTCTTTGATTTTATATGCTATATTTAGTATATTGGGCTTATTGATGAAAACTGATACTATAAAATCCGACATCAATTGTTCTCATTAAGTTAGATTTGAGAACCTAGAGTAAGAAAAGGAAGAAAGTTGTATAACTAGTTCAAGTTCCCATATGGAGTGACTTTACTGAAAGAATAAGGCTATAATATATTATGAAATAGAGAATTAATAAAAAACATAGATAAAATAGATCAAAAAACAAAAAAAAATTTTTTTGTTATAAAAACTGAACATATATTGATTATGAAAGTACAATATATAAAACTGAAGAAGAAAGAAACTATAAAATTAGAAACAGTGATATATTAATTACGTGGGAATTCCAATTATCCTTTAATTTGAAGTCAATAATTTTTGACCATTACGTTTTCTTTTAATAGAAATTTTTAAGAAAGCACTAAAACCGGTAATGATTTATTCTTCAAGTTAAAAGTAAATTGTAATATTTATTTTTTATTATTCATAGCTGAAAGGTATGAATAATAACCTTAATTATATATCTTTACTGGAAAACTATATATTACTTTTTAAAATACAAATCTCTTAATTATGATATGAAAAACGTTAAATAATCCAACTTAGATTTTCGAAACTTTACCCTTCCTATTAAGTTATTGTATGGATCACTTTGTATATGATTTTTTTATGGCATAACATATCTTTTTTTTGCTTAAATAGATTAAGCAGTTGAGTAGACTTTTTCTTTATATTGTACTTACCGACTAATGTTGGTAATTGAACACAAGCTGGCCCGGGACTTGTTGCTTCAGCACTAATTTTACCTTTGCGTACTGTCGGAGTCCAGGGTCGTTGTTCTACGCCTGCGCCCATGCTTTAAAAGTCTATTTTGCGTTACTTTGTTGCAGGGTTTGCGTAAGAAAAGTATAACTTTAATTTAAAAACCTGCAAAATAAAAAAATAATATTTTTAATAATAATGAAAATATTTAAGAAAAATTGATAAATGAAATAAGATATAAATTTTCATTGATCTAATGAAAGTAAATCCTTTCGTTTTAACATACATTTGCAGTCGGTCGAAGAAAGAATTTATTAAAAATAGTGCAAATACTAACAGTAAAAATGGCTTATTATTCTCCGAGTTGTATTCAACAGTATTGTATACAAAATCGATAACATGTTTTCTGTTTCCCTACACCTTTCATCCATTGTACTGCGGTATGACGACTGATTAAAAAATTCCAGTCCCTTAGCTTAGAATAATATTATAACTTAATCACATCATATAGGCATAAAATTTCAGAGAAATGGTATTACCCAATATAAGAAGTATCCGCTTTAGATCGTAGGGTGAAGTTGGTACCAATATATCTAGCAACACTAATTCGATTATATCAAACGAATATGTGTTTTGTGAGTATTCCATGAATTTTTTGTTTGTATTTCCTTAATAATTTATTACAATGTGATAATCCATGTTTGCTGAGAGATGAAATTGAGAGGATGTTCCCGTTTCTTGGGTGGAAATCTTATCCTGTCACTTTACCAATATGACGCAGAGCATAACTCGGTAGATCACCTAACTGAATTCTTTAGCGCCGCCATTGGCTTTATACAAAAGTTCTCTAACGATTTATCGATAGCAAATAAGGTTATGCAGAGTTTTTGATGGACTTGTAAGGGAATTGTTTATTACCAGCTACTTTAGCCCGGTACAAGGATCTCTATTTCGACCATGTGAACTAAATAATCAAAAAAAATTGTTCGTTAAGCCAACAGAATAGAAGTTGCTTTTCATTAAGGCAATGCCAGGCTATACACATCTCACAAATGACGAAATTTCGTTGAAACATTTAAATACATCCTTCGTATAGCCCAGACCTTAAACCATTTATAATAATTTGATTATAATTTGTTTTGGTTTCTGCAAAATTCGTTTATTGGTGAAAAATTGGCCGACCGAAAGGCTGTTGAAATTGATTTGGTCAAGTTTTTCGTCGATAAATCATAAAATCTCTACATGACTGGAACTATGAAACTATCCAGACAATGGCAAAAAGTCATATATAGCAATGGTTATAAATACTTTATTAAGTTTAATTATCAATAAGTGTTATATTTTTATTTAAAATGTAACAAAAAAATGCGGATACTAGCGAATATCATTTATCATGAATAGTATATTCTCCAAGCAGAATGGGTTTAGCTATCTGAAGAATTATAATATGTAATTTTTTTTTCTGTTCTATTTATTAACTAATTTCAGTTGTGCTTGAGAAATAATTTTTATTCAAAACTATGGGGGTTTGAATGTCTGAAGGTTTTGGTCTCAAAAACCTCGAAAAATCTAAAACTTTTTGTGAAATTTTTTTTTATAAAAAAGTAACAAAATAATTATAAATAATTTATATAATTCAACAAATTACAACTTTTCTGCATTATATTAATATTTTTCTTGACATTGTTGATTTATATCACAACAATTACCGAAACGGCTCCACTCCGAAGTTATGATGTGGCATATGCATGTGTGTTAATGGCTGCTAACTTGACCTACAAAATCCATCAAAATCAACCTACAAAACTAAATAACCAATCAATTTTTATGTTGTACATTGCATGAAAATGACGTGGAAAAACAGAGCCCGCAACGGCAACATAAACAAAAGCCGAAAGGAGGAAAGGATATAACAATCAATCGCTTGATTGTAGGTCTTCAACTCACAGCAAAGGGAAGCGTGCTGTCAAAGTGCTTCACTAGCAACCAAAAAACAAAGTCAACGAAAGGAGTTTCTTGTATTTCCGCATGGAGTTAGCAAGTTTTGACTTTTCTGGGCCAACCAACATTGGCGTAGGCAAGTCTGTCGTGTACAAATAAAATTATTACGAAATTTTCCATAGACACTCGCACGGTCTACAAAGGGTCTACGATTTAGTATAGTCTGTGTGTTGTACTTTAGTGAAGCCTTAGACTGCAAAGGCGTTGCCTACATTTTAGCCGAGATACTCGTTTGTTGTAGTTTTTTTGTTTACTTATTTGCTTACTTTTTTATTTCAAATAATATCATTTTTTTTTCTATTTTGTTTGTTTTTTAGTGTCTTTAGTATATCGATGAATAGTGCACCTTGATGATTTTTGAGGTAGGTTCTCTATGTTTTTGTTTTGTCCATAATTATGTTGACCTTCTTTTTCGTATTGTCAGGTTGTCAGCGAAGAATTGTCTTACTTGTCTATGGTATGCTTTCCATGTGGGCTGTTTTCCGATTTTTCAATATTTTGACTTTTGTTGCTACCATCTTCTTCCACTTCGTTTTAATTCATTGTGTTTTTATCCACGTTACCTTTGTTTTGTTTACTGGCTGTCATACCTTTTCTGGTGCCAAAGAAAGTTTATTTTATTGTAATTTAATGGTTCTAATGTTAGGCTGTATCAACTCGTAACTTGGTACGATTTTTGTATTGGATTTTGTTTAAATTGCTTTAAACGCTTTTTAGCTTCTTAACAAATTTTAATTGCCACGCAAATCACAAAAAAAAAAAGAATTAGATACTATTTTTAAATTAGCTTATCTATTAGTATTTTATTGGTATAAACTCTGAAGTGCATTTTTCTACTTTTACATTACTTGGATAAGAATAAAAACTTCTAATTAATCTGTTTTTGTGAGCATTTAGAACATGCAATCGATATCTTCTTTATTCAATTTAATCGCTTAAAAATAAAAACAATCATTATTTTTAAACTTTAAGAATTTCTGAAAAATAAAATTTTCAAAAAGTATAGAGTTTAAAATTAATATATACCACGATAAGTATATACTATAATTCCATTAAAAATTACAATAACAAAAGTCAACCTAAATAACACATAATTAATACTATGTTTCCACTGGTCTCATTTAGGCACTTTTGCTCATTAAAGCCGCTAATGACGATAATTTACCGTACTCGTACCAAAAGCTTTTATATAAATGAGCTCATTATAAATAAATCAACTCACTTGAGATGAAAAATGCAACTCTTAAAATTAAATTTCCCACAAGGAAAATGACCAAAATTTGAAATATTTTATTTGTCGTATATTTTATATGTAAAATGTAAACTTTTACAATCTTTTCATATGAATAAATCAGTTTATGGCAATGAAAACAACCAATTCTTAATTACATCAACATAATTAGTTTCAACTGCTATGAAAACAAATTTTTTTTGACATTATCTTACAATTTTCAAACAAATACTTGACTGACTAAATAATTATTAAATTTTTAAAAATTAATTTAATAAACATTTTTCACAAAATAATCACATATGCTAGACAAGCGAATGTCTAAGGAACTTCATAGTGGAAGTTCAATTTCCCACAACTTTAAAGATCATATCTCATAAAAAGGGCTGCATAGGCTAATGATTTCAAGTATTCACATAGAAAGTTTTATATCACATGACCTTCGTGGTCAAGAAACGAGTCTGTTTATATAGATTATGTTCTAATAAAATTCTTGCTTCTATAAGTTAATGTTTTCCTTGGAATAATGATATTTCTCTACTACTTATTGAAACCAAAACCATAACCTTGCATTTTTGGAAACTGAAAAGCTTTCGTATGTAATTTTTTGAGACTGCAACTACCAGGGGTTGAGCTTATACCCTGCCCAGTTTGAAGCTCAGAATCAGTCTTTATTAGCCAACTGATCCAAAGCCGTACTTCGCTTGTATGTTCGAACTTTGTTAATTTTGTTTTGTTAATTTGCTGTGAAACTTTATTAACAAATTCATTTGCTGTGCTGTATTAGAATAAAATCATAAACCAGTTATAGAATTAAATTAAATTCTACATAATTCTGTAATTAAATTAATTTATTATATTTTTTATTTTTAATTGTTAAATTTCAATATTATAGCATTAATTGTTGCTAAAAATTTATGTTGTTGCAATAACACTACTGTTCGATAAAAACCTCTCAATTGAAGACAATAGTTTGTGTTAAGAACTTAGTTTTTTTCGTCAAAACGGATTTGAAAAATCTGTTTAATATAAACAAATAAAATAAAAAATATACACGCATTTTGTAAACATTTATTTGACGAATTAAATCTTAAATTTTTGAAAGCATCTAATATTTGGCATTACTGAAAGCAAACTAAAATTAATTCATTGAATGCTTTTCACTAACCACCAAATATTTAAGAAATAATTTTCGCAATTTATATGAAAGTTAAAAACAAATTAATGCAAATTTTCGTAATTTGCTCACAGGAAATTCAATTTTTGCTTCACTTCCCCTTGACCAATAAAGTTTCGGCGTAAATTTCGAAATGCAAATATCCATGCACACAATAAAGCACCGATATTTAGATACACACGATATTAAATATGGAAAAAATCACATTTTCTTTATTGCTTTATGGTTTAATATACATGGATACACTTAAATAATAAATATTTTTTTACTGAAAATTAACCGCCATAAGTCATTTTTAGAAGATTAGTAACATATAGTCTACTACCGATATATTTCATTTGAATTACCAAGGCCAGAAATTTAATAAAGTTTAATAGACATTTGTAGTATTTTATTTACGTATCACTCATATTAATAAGTCAAACTTTTATTCAATATCAAGAAGGTACTGTACCCTGCCAAAAATAAAAAAATTTCATATCTAATGTCATATCTAATGTTTTTTTTTTACCAAAAGTGACGTGTCTTACGACGAAAAGAAATTATTTTTAAGTTAAAAGGGTTCAAATAGAAATGAAAAGACAACAACAAATTTTTTTAGTTAATTTATTGACATTTGGCTGATCATGCAACACTGTTTGGCAATACTCAAGACAGCGAGCGTTATATGGTTCGTTAAATTTCAATAAAATCACTAAAATTTTTTGTTGTTGTCTTTTCATTTTTATTCGAACCCTTCTAAAATTTGATATCGAT